AATTTAAAATATTCTGTTAACATTTATTATTTACAATATATATATAACTTATATTCATGTAGATTTTTTCTTTAATATTTTTATATAAAATATTAAATATTTAAATATTTTTTAAAATATTTTTTATTAATTCAAATTAACTCATTAAATTTAAGATCTAACCCATCAAATCAACTCCAAACCCAGTCAACACCAGACCAAGTTTGATAACCATGTTCCTGACTGTTCGGTTAACGATCCGATGAGGCTCCTCTGTTGCTCCTTGGTGTTTACTTAAGCTATAGTGACATGGCGAGGATGCGTGGCAATTTTATTTTTATTTTTTTAATTTTTTAGTAATATCCTCTTATAAACTTTCCACCATTAATATTAAATTAAATTTCATCTTTCACATCTGGTCAAGATAAATATTAAAATTAAGGGATGTGTAAAGATTTCATCATCAAATTACGAGATTTTTTAAAATCTCCTTCATCCACTCTGATTTAAATTTAAATTTCATTGATTAATTAAGAAAAGAGACAATAAACAAGAGGTATTACACTATGATAACATAGAAACATTTCATGTAATTATGCTGCGATATATATATAAATTGACTTGAGAGGATTACCTCTTATATGTAAAATGCTTTAATAGTTCAGGGTGTTAGCCAGAGATTAAATTATCCAAAATCACTTTGAGCTTCGGATTAATTGAATTTAATCTCTCATATAACTTTATTTCTATTTATTTGAGTTCTTCGAGGTTTATTTTTCCCCATGAAGAAGTCTTCTAATAACTTGATAAGTATCATAAAAACATATAATTTGATTAAAAAAAACACGAAAAAGAAATTAATTGAGGGACGGAAACAAGGACAGAAGAGCTTTTTTTAAAATATTCAAATAAATCATCTAAATTTCAAGGTTGTTTTGGTATATTTAGGGTCCCTTTCATAGCATAATAAGATTCACTACTAAATAAATAAAGAAAAAAATAAAAATATTTCATGATTCAGCAACGAAAACAATGACCTAAAAATAATAATTTATGTCGGTAATTTTAGATAAAAAACAGTGACGGAATAATAATAAGATTTTTAGTGGTATTGCCGACTAAAAAATTTAGAAACACACACACAGAGAGCGCTGACTAGAAGACTTGGGAGGGAAGCAGCCATACAATCAAATCAACATTGTCGTCGATTCCATTTTAGCTCTCGGCTGCTTGCTTTGCCGCTTTTTGTTTTTTTGTCGGTGGATTTTGAATAAGTCTGCCTGCCTGCCTGCCTTCATTTTTCGGTTGCCATGCCTCATGTTAAAAGCGTAAACAGTGGCGAGACTAGAGAATCTTTTTGATTCTCGAGCTGCGGGGTCTTTGAAAGTACAGTTTTGATTTATTTTTTAAAATGTTTTTTTAAGAAAATATATTGAAATAATATTTTTTTTAATTTAAGAAAATTATTTTTAATATCTACACCTCCAAATAATCCAAAAATAAATTAATTAATTTAAAAAATAAATAAATAAAAATTATTTTTTAAAATAATACTTTTGAACCAAAATAAAATAAAATTATACATTACTCATAACTAAGATCCTGTTTCAACCAGTAAATGTGAAACCAAGTAAAAACTGTGGAAACAGATTTTGTCCCTTTTTTTTTTTTTTGTATAATCTTTTAGGCAGTAAAGTAAGCCTTGATGCTCTCTCTCGCCCTTGTATGCAAACAAACACACAAACATGTGTGGGAGAGAGTCATGAACGACTTCTTGTACACACGACGACACGCTCGATGAGCCAGACAATTGCTTCTAACTAGGCGAGGCATGTGCAATGCAAGACCTGCGGATTCAAGGCCAGCTCCTGCTGCTAATTGCTGGGGCAAAAAGAATAGGCTAATTAGCTAGATTTGATGAGCCCTTTCCCTCCCCTTATCGGAAAGGAGTTGGGAATGCAACTCTAAGACAATTCTGGCGTTTCTTCTTTTACTAGTGGACTTGAATTTAGGAACAATTTGGCAAGGTACATTAAAAAACAACAAAACAAAACAAAAGGGTCGAAGTATATGAAGAATAGTCTTCCTTCACTGCTTTTGGTCAATTGGAAAAGAAAAACTTCGGCAATCTAACAGGAAAGGCCCCTACAAATTAATTAAATAAACATTTTTCAACAAAGTCAAGAGAGGGACAGAGACATGGTAGGTTTGGTTTCCGTTCATATTGTCATCTCCCACTCCCGCTGGTAAGCTTTCTCATTTCTGGCTGTTCATCAAACATTGTTTTTACAGTATCCTTGTTAAGACTTGGTCTCTCCCTCTCTGTCTTTCACAATTCCAGAGTGAAAATCCTCCCTTTGTGACAACTGTCACAATTCTGGAGCTCTCCTCTTGTTATTTCCTCTGTGTTCCTCGTCCTCATCAGTTCCTCCCCCCTTGAAATCTATATAAAAGCACTTGCCATCTTTGAATCCCATCATGCACGATCCTACTAGCCAACCAGTAAGTATGATTGATTCATGCCCACCTCTTCTTCACCATTATGGAGAGCTTTCACGCCTCCCACCTCAGATTCCTACACCCGAACGCAATGACCTCCCAGATGGTATTGTTCTCATGGAAGAATATTGCCAACTCCCATTGATCGACCTCAGTTGTCTAAGTAGCACCAACGAAAAGGTGCGGCTAGCTTGTGCTGACGCTATATGCAGAGCTTCGTCAGAGTGGGGATTCTTCCAAGTAGTGAACCATGGTATAAGCCCTGAGCTGGTTCGGAATATGAGGAGGGAACAAGTGAAGTTGTTCCGAACGCCTTTTGATAAAAAGGTGACCAGTGGGATTTTGAACAACTCTTATAGATGGGGAACTCCAACAGCTACTTGTCCAAAGCAATTCTCCTGGTCTGAAGCTTTCCACATTCCTATCTCAAAAGTTTTTGAGCAAGCTTACTTTGGGGAGTTTAGCTCTTTAAGGTGCTTCTCTATTTTCACCATGTTCCAATTTGGTCTCTCTCCACCAGTTTGCCTCTAGAAATTAACTAGAACAGCACAACTCATAACTTGCAAAATCTACGTTCTTGACTGGCTCCTTTCATTGTTTTTTTTTTTTTTTTTTTTTTTTTTTTTTTTTTTTTTTTTTTTTTTTTTTTTTTTTTTTTTTTTTTTTTCAAAAGACAGTCACCAAAACTTTAACACTTGATTTCAATTCAATCTCGAGTCTAATGGAGTTTCATGCACTATTTTCCTCGTGGGATCAGGAAAATAACTTCATAATACTCTTTAGTGTTACAACCCCAGGCACCATGTTCTAGTCCACAATCGTCATATTTTGTAACTAACCACAACATGATCAGGCGATAAAAATATAAATATCTTGATTAGCTTCAGAAGCCGTCCTAACAGTCATTGAAGTCACCCTTTCTTCTAAGATGCCTGTGTTATTATATGGTAGCTAGACTCTAATCAATTTGATGAGCTGTATCAACAGGGAAGTGATGGTGGAATTTGCAGCAGCAATGTCAAAGCTAGCAAGGTTACTGGCTGGAGTCCTAGCGGAAAACTTAGGCCACCCAAGAGGAGTGTTTGAGAGCACTTGTCAAGAAAGCAATTGTTTTCTTAGGTTGAATCGTTACCCAACCTGTCCAATATCATCAGAGATTTCTGGCTTAGTGCCCCACACTGATAGCGATTATCTAACAATCCTCTCTCAAGATGAAGTGGGAGGACTCCAACTCATGAAAGATTCAAAATGGGTGGCTGTAAAACCCAATCCAGATGCTCTTATAGTCAACATCGGAGATCTTTCCCAGGTAAGATTAAATTTCTATTTTCAGTATTCATTAGCCTGCGTTTCAAGCTAGAATTAGACGAAGTGTCCCAACTAACTAATTAAAAAATCCTTTATTGCCTGCTTTTGTTCGTGGACGTGGACGTGAAGACTCAGAACAACGATAATATTCTGATATTGTTATTATAATTGTGCATCAACCCTGTCCTTGAGCTACCAGACAGCACATCGTATTTTGGCATTTAATCTTTGTCCGACTTGGGCAAGTCAAACCTAGTTATTGAATTTAAACTCCTAGAATACCATAAAGTAAGAATCTGATTATTTTTTTTAATTGATTGTTGATTTGTCCTCTGTAAATGTGAATATCAGGCATGGAGCAATGATATCTACAAGAGCGTGGAGCACAAAGTCATGGCAAATCGAGAGAAGGAGAGATACTCAATCGCCTACTTTCTATGCCCCTCTTATGACTCGTTGATAGGCAGCTGCCGAGAGCCTTCTACATACAGAAATTTCACTTTCGGAGAGTACAGAAACCAAGTCCAAGAAGACGTCAAGAGAACAGGCCATAAGATAGGCCTTCCAAGATTTCTACTTTAACACATACCATCCATTAACAAAATCTTCAGCCTTTAGGTATCAAAACACAGCATTCAAAGCAGCTGAATAGATAAGCAGGAGGAGGATATATATATATATATATCGAAGTCAAGTCTGATCCCGCCAGTATGGGCATTGATGTAGTTAAGCCCAATGAATATCTGCCACCCTTCAGTTTATCGGAGACATACAGACTCAAGCCTGCCATTTCAGAAATAGTTCGACAGCCCATTGTTCAAAATCATGTAGCCAAGGGCCCTCGACGGCCCGGTCTATAAGTAATTTTGTTGCTTGGATTGAAGATCCTCCCTGGTGATGTCCTCTCTCCCGCCTACAGGCTGTACCAATTTCTAGTAACCGTGTGAATCTATTCTTCACCAAATATACACGCATGATCTACTAGTCGTTTATAGCATGTATGTGAAGAGACTGCTGCATTATGCGGCTACATGCGAAGAAGAATAGATGGATATCTTGTTTCCTGTTGCCCTTTCTTTTTCTCATATTTCTTTTTTTTTTTTAACATCAAAACAACCCAAAAATATAAAAATACTAAAACAGGACTGAAATCAGAAAAGGCTGTGCATGTAATAGCATTGTCTTGAACATGCTTCAGCTAGCAATTTGTATCAGTGGGAAACTTTTGCCTAGAAAATGAGTTTCAGGCTCTGCCGATCTAAAATGGAGTATCTTCGTATAGCCTTTACAAACCAGCCAGCGTTGCACCTATTAACAAACACTGAAGTCTCTTTCAAAGCTTGTCACGTATGACTCGTATAGGAAGCTGTAGCTTTAACTTCAAAGGAAGCCACAAAACCTTCAGCAGTCATGACGAGTAGTAGATAAATTCTTACCCAGCGCAAGGCCACTTCATGCAAGTCCTTGACTCCTGACATCCTTTTTTTCTCAGCAGCAGGCATGACAAGTAAGAGATCAATTCCTCCAACCTAGCTCCAGGCCAGCTCCATGCTTTTCCTAGAATCATGCCACCCATTATTTTTTATGTATCAGGAAGACATGAATTAAACATAGCCTTTAAGTGAAAATTATCAAGCTACAACTAGGTGCCATTAACTTCTTTTGTGATGAAAAACCTCAGAAAGCCTTGTCTCTAAGCTTAATCTACAAACGACCATTTAACTTGACATCGACCACACACACACACACACACAAGAAAAAAAAAAAAAAGAACTCCAAATTTATAAGGGGCAAGCTTTGTAGTCAAACCTTAAAGAAGGAAGAAGAAATCAGATCAGTACAAAGACCATCTAAAGAACTGCCTACCCACAGGTTCATATAAGACTGAACTGAAAACGAACTAGGCCTCGCATCCAATAGAAAGTCAATCAAGCAACAAAATATCAGCAAAAGAAGAAAAAATCGTAGCCAGTTACATTAATAATACATTAATTGTTCACCTCTAAAACACCTCTAAAATCAGGCAAATCACCATCTATTGAGATCCCTTGTGCATGCACAATCTCTCATTGTTTCTCCAAAGCCCAAAATACATGAGATAAAATATATAGTTCTGTAACCTACATATCAAGGTGCTAATGACACGCGCACAACTGAATCAGGTTCAGATAGGTATCCCAAAAGTGCCACCAAAGTAAATGATTGTAGGCTAATTGTAACCAGTCAACTTGACATTCATGCGTAATTTTTCAGCTATCTTGCCATGCCAAAGTTAACATCCAAGAGTTCCACAATCACAAAACAAGCATGACTGGTATACCAGACACAACAAACTGAGACTGGCACATGGTAATTTTTTTGTAAAGATCATGTTTGTAAGCATCAGCAGGGCCTAGATTCATAGAAAGATGTATGTACCAATACCAGCATTGTCAAATAAGCACTTCATAGGATACCTTACTTTTTAAGCACAGAATGAAAGCAGCTCCTGGCAACCTGGAATTTAAGATTGCAAGCAATCTTGTGTTTGTCATGGAATCTCATATTCCCAGGAATGTTTTATGATGAACTTTACTAGACAATTTTGATCCCGTGTTCTTTTACAGGCCCGAGAAGAATATTAGGATTACAACATGGTAACCCTAGATTTTTTAATCACAATCATATCGCATCCTTACAGATCAAAAAACAATATAAATTAGACAATAACTTCATTGAGCATCAAAAAGCTCTTGGATTGCTAAGATGGTGGTATAAATGCAAGTTACTACTGCCGAATCATATTTGTATGTTGAAAAGGGTTGTGTTCTAACAGGAAAAATGAAAGGTAATTATGCTGCTGAAGCATGGTATTGAAGACAAAACTACTTACCATGCCTATAAGACCAAGTACCAGCTCTAGTGGAAGTATAGTCCTTGTAAAACGTTTGTTTACAGAACACGGACGGAACTGTTATATGTCATTCTTATGTAGTTTCTACCATTTTCAGTCAAAACATTCTGACAACTAAATTAAAAAAAAAAAATGTTAGCAGAAAAACACACCTAGGGAAATATCATCTGAAGTGAAGAAGAGATGGAAGTGTCCAGAAATTGCTTGCTTGATGGAACCAGATTGAGAGGATCACAGTAGCATCTCAACATATCTGCTTTGGACTCTTTAATCAGTCAAGCAATAAGGATACCTTGTCTTTAAGGCTGCTCTTCTTCTTCATTGGAGGCACCTTTTCGTCTCCAAAATCATCGTGACCTTTCTTTTTCAACACGACGGTAAAATCAGCATCCATTGTAGTAAATGCAGACCTCTTCTCTTTCTCCATTGGCTTCTTAAGCAAGGGACCCAAAAATAAATCCAACATGTCATGAGCAGGATCCCCTGTCCTACTTGAGGAAATGAGACTTTCTTCGCTAACTAAATTCATAGCTGAACCATAAGAAGTGGTTTCACAACCAGCTGATATATGTTTGCCATCAAGAACAATGAAAGACTCTTCTAAATCATTCTTAGAAGAAGCTGTTGCTGGCAGTTGTCCTTGCAATTTACATTCTCTGCCTGATGTTTGTTTTCTCCGTGAATCCTCGTCAGCTTTGACATACTGCATATAGATCACGCCATCTTGAGATTTCTCCACACAATAATGTTGAAAATAAATCAGAACAGAATGATTTCGTAAGAACCTTCAAATCTACCCTAGGATCAATCACCAAACGCACTGCTTGAGCCATGAAAAAGGTGTATTTCAATTTTCAAGTACAGCAACGTAAATGATATACCTCTCAACAACAAATTTGTTTCTTGAATAAATATGATGGTGAGGCAATTCCAATTCGCAAGTCTCTGTCGGCATTGAAAATCGTGCTATGCACGCAGTGCCGTTTATCATCCGAGTTGGTTTTCATTTAACTAAAATTTCTACCTTTCTTTTATTTGTAAAACATGATACGCCACATTGCATTACATCCATCTTAAGAATTAAATAAATCACCTCACCTCCTCGGCAATGCTGACTAAGTCTTCAACGGTCAGCTCCTCCCCCTCCTCCTTCTCGTACTCAGCTTTGATCTCCGCCTTACTTTTTGATTTTCGCTTTCTCCCAGGCCGATTGCTTGTTTTCTTGTTTACGTCGTTGTCAGTATCATCATCCAGTTCTTTATTGTCTTTAACTTGGTTCCTCTTTCTCCTTTTCGCTTCGAATTTTGAATTCTTTGCTAGATTTGCCTCGTCTTCTTCATCTTCAGGCTCGTCGGTAATGTTCTTCTTATTATTATTATCATTATCAGCAGTTACACTTACACCTAGCATCCATTTAGGTAGACGCCGTGTACTTTCCTCAACTATTATCATATTCTTTAGGCCTAGAGAAAAAAAAAAACCAAAGAAATTCCAGTTTCCCCTAGAGAAAAAAAAAAAAAAAACCAAAGAAATTCCAGTTTCCAACTATTGCTTGATTGATCTCTGATTCGCACAAAAAAAATAAATCGAAGAGATCAGATCAGAAAAATCGCATACCAGTGGATTAATGGATTGCCCCGAAAATAAGAGATGATGTCCCCACCGGATAAATTTTGCACCCGTTTCCTTCTGTTATCTCTTCTTTCAGTTGGATTATTACAAATGGACAGTAAAATTACACTTCAAGCCCTCGGCTCAGTCAGCGCAAAGTGAAAATGAAGGTTAACTTGATTATCTCAAGCGAAGGGTAAAGAAATTGATTCTTCGGAATTAAACTGGTAATAAATTGACTCGTCGGAATTAAACCCTTAATATTGTTTTACAGGTTATTTTTTAAGATTTTTTTATATAAAAATAATATTATTTTATTTTTAAAAAATTATTTTTAATATTAATACATCAAAATAATTTAAAATAAAAAAATTAAATATTTTAAAAAATAAGATTAACAAACATCCAGAAAAGCTATTATCAATATGCAAAAATACCCCATAAAAAATATTAAAAAAATAATCAAAAACATGTTTGTTTATAGAAAAATATTTTTTAAGAGAAAAATTTTATTAAAAAATAATTTATTTTTAATAGATTGAATGTATTAAAAAATATGATTTTTTTGCGATATTGTGTTTTTAATGGTTTGCAATAACAATAATAAAATAAGAAAAGTGACGATATTGATATTGATATGATTTTAGTGCATTACCATTCTGATTTTTAGAAGATTTAAATATAGATAGTAGAGATGAAAGTTGAGTATAATCGAGTGAAAATAAGCTCAATAGCTAAAACAGTAACTATTTGAACTCTGAGTAGCATATTTTCCTCTCCATTTCAAAGACTTTTCAGTGAGTTTTCTTGACCTTTTCCTCCGAGACTATCCACGATAGAAACCTTTATTTATCCATCGACAAGGGAACAGACTGCACTACCAGGTCTCATTAACAGAGAATCAGTGTTGCAGCCAGCTGCTGAAACCATCTCCGATGCGTTATCCGACAACTTTATCACTCGAAATCCCATACATCGTTGTCGAGCTATTCTACGATACTCCACTATAGCTCGTTCTATCGACACAGATCACTGAACAAATCCCAGAGATCAAGGAGAAAAGCAAACAATATCATGATATAAATAATCATATTCACTTTTAAAGACGTCAAATCTAGCAGCTAGACATGGGATTATCAAAAAAGTAGGGTAAGAGAAGGAGAGGTTGTTGCCTGTTGGTGGTGTCATTTTCTCCAGCGGTAGACCCGAAACATTTATTTTCAGGAGATAGTTGCTTGAAGAAGCTGTAAATGGTATTTATCAAGTTATCAATTTCCTTCCGTTTTATTTGAAATGATTGAAATATTTTATATTAATTTTAAAAATAAAATAAAATAAAATAATTTTTATTTTATTTTTAATTTCGATCTGTTCTATATTTTTCAACTAAATTTCAACCGAAATATTCAGGTTTCATTTTTTAAATTTCGATCTGTTCTATATTTTTTAACTAAATTTCAACCGAAATATTCCGGTTTCATTTTTTATATTCTATTTTAATTTTGAACATTCATTAAATTAAATTAAATTGAATCTAGTTTAATTTAAATTCATTAAATTAAATTGAATCTAGTTTAATTTAATTAATTAAACCATTAAAATATAAAAATCTTTTTTCATTAAAATTTTCAATAACAATGATAGTAATAACAATATTGAAAATTATTATTATTAATAATGATTTAAATTTTTTAAAATTATATTTATCACTAATAGATATAGTTCATGTTGTTTTTTTCATATTTATATTTTATTGGAATTTAAGCAAAATAAGAAATGCTTTAGATCCTATTAATTTTAATAATATTGACCTAATTTTATATTTAAAATATTTATATTAAAAAAATATTTTACTTTTATAATATTTTGATATATTGTTTAAATTAAATTATTTTAAGTGAAAAATTTACTTAATCTTAACTATTTAAAAATATTTAAAATTTTAAAATTATATTTGTATGGCATTGTGTTTATTATATAATTTATAATTAATTTATTTTAAATTTATATTATATTTGTTTTGTGTGTGTATAAATTATATAATAAACATATATATATATATATATATATATATATAATCTCGAAACGATGTATAAAATATTTTAAAATTAAAATATTTTATTTAAATTAAAAAAATAAAACATTTATCAAAATACTTTAAAACTAAAATATTTTATTTAAATTAAAAAAATAAAATATCTATCAAAATAAAATTGAGAATCTTAGCACTTATGGCAGTGACTTGTGGTTGAGTAATGGTAGTTGGTGCAGGATGGTGATTACTATGGCGATGAAGATGAGGACAATATTTGATAAAACGACGGTTGTTACTTTAATATCCAGTGATGGTGATAAGATGTTACGACAATGACGGTGTTGCGGTGAAGATAATGATTGTGCAGATGATCGTGGAGGAGGATGAATTTGGCAATTTCCACATGAATTTTTTTTAAAAAAAGTGAATTAACCCTGCAGCAAAAAATGTGGTGAAGGAACAGGCTTTTAACTTTTATCTATATATTTGAACCGTCACAATTAATTATGATATTTAATAATTATCGTGGTGTTCTGAAATTAATTATCAACCGTGATAATTAAATGATAGCGTTTTTAACCCGCGTAACGTGAAGACAAAAAAGCATCTCAGAAGTTTCAAGTCAATCCCATAAACATCTCAAGGAATCTAAATCTTATTTATTTTAATATTTTAAAAATGTTTTTTTAAAAAAAATATTTTTTTTGTTTTTAATTTTTTATATATATTTTTAGATTATTGTGAATATTTTATACCAAAAAATAATTTTTAAAAAATAAAAAAAATATTTTTTTTGTTTTTAATTTTTTATATATATTTTTAGATTATTGTGATATATTGATACCAAAAAATAATTTTTAAAAAATAAAAAAAAATATTTTCATATATTTTTAAGTAACAAATACTTTAAAAAACTACTAAAATTATGGTATCGGAAACAGCAAAATCAGAAGCCACGCCATGATCTTAGGGCTTCCATGTATGTTCTTCCCATGAAGGAAAGGAAACTTCTGCAGAAGTCAGTTGGTTAGCAAATCTAAAAGAATAAGATGAAAAAAATGAACGCTAGCATGGTTATATGAACTTCATTGAGAATCAGTAAGAAGAGGAAGAGATAAAAGAACATGGGCAAAATTCAAGTCAACCCCATAAAACTACAAACCTCGACAATTCTACTGGGGAACTTCCTGGCCTGGAAATTGAAGAAAAAATATTTAAGAAAGATTCACCTTCTTCGTTGGATGATCTCAATGTTCAAACTCGGGAACAAGAAACTATGCTAGTTGACGAGCCGGACTGGCAGCAGTTGTTCATGAGTGGTGTGGATAGTGGAGAAAACGTTCCACGAACAGAGTATGCTTCAATTCTCTGGAATTTCAAGTAAACAAGAAGCTTAGTCCGTGTAAATTTAATCACAAGTGGTGCCCGGTAAGTTAGAGTGTTTATTTCACTATTTTTTTTAAAAAAATATTGTTATTCTATCAAAAAAAAATTAATATTTATATTAATTTTAAAAAATACCTTGATGAAGTGGTGTTGGGGCGATGGCGCTGCTAGAAGGTACGGTGGAATGATGAGATGGTGCATTGATAATAAAATGATGGAGTGCAATAATACTGGTAAGTGGTGGGCAATGGTGATGCTATGGCAGCAACACGACTAGTCATAATGAAAATAATTAGTCATAATGAAAATAATAATAATAACTAGAGCAATGAAGTGAGAAAAAAAAAATAATGATAATAACTAGAGCAATGAAGTGAGAAAAAAATTGAATAATTAATTAAACTGAAAAAATTAAAAAAAATCAAATTAAAAAAACTAAACCAAAAGAAAAACTCAATTAATTGATTGAAAAAATCATAAAAAAAATTTGGTTTAGTTCGATTTTGTTTTTCAAAATCTAAAACCAATTGAATTGACCCGGTTCAACCAAACCAATATTTTTTAAAAATATATAAATAAAATGTTTTTTTCGTAACCTTAAACCTAAAGTAACATTTTAAAGACAGTCGTCCCCTCCTTGATTTATTTTTTGCATCTCTCACTTTCTTTTCTCTCTTATTTTTCTCCGTACTCCATCATTTATATCTCATATTTTTTAAGAATTGTTAAGCTCCTGCTTCTCTATGTTTATTTGTCCTCGTATCAAAGGCACACCTTTCTTCACTTGATTTTAATTTTTTTAATTCAACCACGCCTCTTTTTACCTTTTTACTTTTTTTTTTGCTTTTAAGTTTAAAATTACTATATAATTTTTCATACCAATATAACAAAAAAAAATTGTTATGTTAAACAGTGAAAAGTTTTCCTGTAATTTTCTTGATGTTGGTCTCGTGAGGACAACAACTGAACATCAATTTGGTTATTTATTGAAAAAACTGAATATAAAAACACCACACCCTCAATAGATGATGTGGATCTATATAAAATTTTATAATTAGTTTCTGATTGTTTTAGTTTTACATTTGAATAATACATATCTTTTGATCTTAATTTTTCTTTCCAGTCAAATAACTTTTTTTTTTTTCTGTTTTGTGTATTTTTTGTACAAAGATTAGTTTTTGAGCAAGGATCTAATAAAAAAAATTAGGGTTGTATTTTTTGATATTCCTACCCGGTTTAACTTGTTAAGAAAGCCAAGATTTCTCTCATAAGCACAAAGATATGAAAATAGAAATAAGACAAATCAGTTTCAACGGTTTGGAAGGAAAAACCAAACCGAACATGGTCAGTTTGAATCGGTTTTCGATTCGGTTCAGTTTCAAAACTTGAAAAAGAATAATTTTAATTTGGTTATTTATTCTGAACCAAAACCGGACCAAACTGAAAATACACATTTCTAACAATAATGATTGCGAAAATGATATTGAGCTGGTGATTATACCAGTATCTACAATGATGATAAGTGGTTTTGGTTTTTTTTTTTACCCAGATATTTTCATGTCTTTTTAAATAACAAGATAAGTTTTGTTTGGTGTTTATAACTGCCTCTAAGTGTGTTTTTTAGAAATCAAATTTATATTTTTATTCTTGCATAAATATAATAGTGTTTTAATTAATACACCAACACTTCGTTGGTGTGGTTTTCATATTTAAGAGTTATTATAGAATAATATAAAATAATAATTATATCGGTAAAAAAAGTTATTGGTGGCTTATGATAAATGGCAATTGGTTGAAGAGACCTTTTATTTTTGTACCTTAAAAGTGTCTGTTTGTGAAAAAAAATTATTTTTTTATTTTAAATTATTTGATTTTTAAATTTTTTTGATGTTGTAATATTATTTTTTAAAAAAATAAAAAAAATTATTTTAAAATATTTTTAAATAAAAATATTTTAAAAAATAATTAACATGAATATAATTTTTTTTTTTGCTGAGAGTAATAGGGAAGTAGGAGTGGTTGTTAAAATTATCGAGTGATGGTTTTGTCTAACAATGTGAACAGACAAAACCAAGGGAAAAATTCTTTTTTTTTTTTTTTTTTTTTTAACTTTCCCTTTTCCTTTTCGTGGACTTGCAAGGGGTAGCCCATAAACCTCGTCTCAGCCTGTGGCGCACTGAGCTAGCTATGCACTCACAATTTCCACGCTACCAGCAACGTGAGTAAAAACCCCTCTGTTTTTGTATCTTCGCGCATTCTGTACGACATTCACCTTTTTTTTAAAAAAAATTAATGTTGAGCTCAGTATTCATTTGTATATCTGGATTAATTCTATAATTTTTAAAATTAATAATTATATAAATTTTTAATAGTTATATTAATAATTACAAAAATTAAATTTAAAATTATAGAAAAAATAAAATTTTTAATCCTAAACTCTTACCACTATATTACCAACTAAATAGTTACAATATCCATTTTATATATATTGTTGCTCAACATTTTTTTGGTTTTATGCGTTAACTGGCTTGAATTTATCAATTTATTTGGAGGATAGAACTTATACAATATCTGACTTTTGCTAGTATTTTTATTTTATTAATGTAGATATCTAGATTAGTTTATATATATTTTAATTAATTTTATGAATTTTAAAATTAATAATTATGAAAATTTTAGTATATTTAAAATAATTAAACTTATAATTATCAGAAAATAAATTTAAAAACTGATGAATTAAAATATCCTTTAAAATTTGCTAGTATTTTAACACCACAAATACCTCCGTTGCTGTCACCACAAGGGATGGCCATCTCGGTGCCACCAGGAATCTATGCGTCTAAAATCTTCTTAGAACCGACAAAAGGAAGGCTCTAGAAATTCTCACAAGAGATGCGGCCCAAATTGAAAGTTGAATCCAAGCCACTCCTTTTCAACGCCCGGTGTGTTGCTCAATTTTTTTTTTAAGAAAAAGGGATAAGAAATTTAAAATAAGGGGAAGAAAAAATAGTAGTAGCAGTAATTAAACAAATAAAAATTATAATGCTCAATTAGTCACGGGAATGATTTGTTTTACAGTAATTAAACAAGTAAAAATTATAATTATAATAAGAGTAACAACAACAAACAACAAGGATGAGTAATAATTTGATAGGCACTTGAGGTTGTGGCTCAATTAGTCACGGGAATGATTTGTTTTCTTCTTCTAGTGTTTGGATTTGATTTTTATGTATATATTTATTATTTTTGTGATGTTTTATTTATTTATTGAGTTTATAAAATATATAATGAGTTTGAGAATTAATCATGTAAGTTTTTATAATTTATTTTACCAAAAAAATAAAAATATAATTCGATAGCGGAAGAGCCCAGCCACAGATGCACCAGCCAGACAAATATCTCCTAAGTAAAAGACAATTCTACCATGGTAGCCGGTGGATAAACAACCACCCAGGGTTTATTATAGCCATAGACAGAGCTCCAAAGCCATTCAGATCCATCTGCTTCGTCTTCTTTCTTTAGATTCTCTAGCACAGCTACAAGATTTTCTTACAGGAGAACAAACAGAACAAGGATAATGGCAGTGTTAACAGCAGCATCAACAACATGGTTTTCCTCTACAACCCAGCAGCTTGTTCAGTTCAACAACGATGACGGCTCAATTTTCACTCGCAACTTCAAGGCAAATTTCCCACAAAAAAGAGCAATTACCATGTCTACGGGTCTCACTGTCAAGGCTTCCTTTACCAAGGGAGGTCCTGGCGTCTTGGAACGCCCCACTTTTGATCAATCTCAGTTCGATCCTTCTTCTCAAGTTCTCGAAGGTATCTATCTTTTCCTTTCTTTATGTTCCCATAGTTTATGACAAGGAATGCATGAAAGGAGATCATATTTGTTGACAAGATTTGGCGGGTTTTTTGTTTTTTTCCTACGAATGATGCACTTTTACCGGGATTTTCCAGTAACAGTTGTTTGCCCCCTCTTCGTTTGTTTGGGAAGGAAGCATTAAATTTTTTTGTTCTTGTCTATCCAAGAATGTTTTAATTTACTCTCCATTCTTGTTGACACTGTTGCTTGGTACTTTTTTTCGTTTTTGGTTTAAGTGATGCAGTTTTTTCTAGTATTCCTTTAATAGCTAGCACCCATGAAAGTTGCGGTGGATTATATTGCTAGATTTTGGATTTCTTACTTGGATTCCTCTTTGTCGAAACAGGAGGGGATATCGGACGACTAAGGGATAAGAGAGGTGTTGGGAGTGGAGATAGCTATAGAGTCTTGCTAATTGATGATAGCCGCCATTCAGAAAGCTTAGGTATGAGTTTAAGTCGTCTTTCTCCTTTTATGTATCCAAATAAAGATGAACTGAATACCCTCTAGAAGTATAGCAAGGCTAATTTATGGATTTCTTTTGGTTGCCCCAAGCATTACGGAATTTAATGGATCCCACTCTGCTGTGTGCCGAGTGGCTACTTGAATACCTAATTGAACAAGTTCAGTAGATGCAAGCATAAAATTTTCATGCTATCGGGTGCTAAAATTGCTAACTTTGATCAGTGTAAAGCCACATATATAAAGCTTCTTGAAAGCTAACAAGCTAGAAATCAGAAGGCGGTTCATGCTGATTACTTCCAATTTACAGGCTAGAAATCAGAAGGCAGTTCATAGCTGATTACTTTCAATTTTTCTGCGAACTGAGCAAATGATAGAAAAAGTTAAAATATTGTATTTCACATTTTTACTCCTGTACTTACTGCTATGAGTGTCCATTTCTGTGTAGTTGCAAAGGTATTACCTCGAGCTGTGCCATCAGTCACACCTGAGGATGCTAGAAGACTATTTCATGAGTCACGTGAAAATGGTGTAGCAGTTGTTATCGTCACAGTTAAGGTATAATTATTCCGCTGCATCATATAAGCTATACAAAGATCTTGCTTCTGCATAATTGTTTGAATGATGTCTTAAATGTTTACATGGTGATGCATAATAGTCATTTTAGAAATATGCATTGTCAGGGTAAGACTACGGGTTGTCTAATCAATCAAACCTTAATGTCGTGTAATTATGTTTAAAACTCCTTCAATAACCATAGCTCTCTGCATCGTATCATGCTGTAAAATGCAGGTCATTGCGGTGCCATGATAATTTCTCACTTAAAAATATACATAAACAGCATGATAACCTCCTTTACAACACGCAGAATGTTGCAAAATATTGCCTTTGGCCCCATTGTCATCCAGAAGCACACACTGAACGGTTATCATAGCTGTCCTTTGTTTATTGTACTATGAATAAAGAGCTATTTTCATATGGCAGCATATCATGCAAGTCAACAATTGGTGTCAGAGTGATTGCTTTTGTAGCTAAGCACAATTGTTGAGTTACATGATGGGCCCCAAGTGCATTAGTTGAGATATAAAGCATATATGCACTATCGTTTTACTAAAATCACACTTTAAACCTTACCATAACTTGACAACTGCTGTAGAAAATCATAGACGACTTCCCTAAGGAATGAGAAAGTACTATCCAAGTTATGGCATTGTGATTTAAAATTAAGACTTTCATCCAATGTATTAGCACTCATACACAATTACACACAGCACCACGTAATCTCCTTTTCTCTTAACAAAATATTTTGTTGAAAGAAATATCATTACTGTTGCTTTTATAGTAAGCCACATATTGTCTTCCTAATAAAACAACAGAGTTGGCTGGTACAGCTATGATGTGGAACTGTTATATTGATGGCTGCTTTTAACATGACAATGGATAAAATGTTTAGCACTCACCTTACCATCGGTGTCCTACTTGAACTTGGTGGTGGATTTAGATAACCATGATTGAATTAGTTGCCAGGTAAGGTTAAGCTATCTAAGATGAATAATAGCTGAAATATGGAATTTGGCTTGCAGGAACATGCTGAGTTTTATTCCCAGATGATGATACGTGGTGGATTACGATCAGTGATTGAGCCAGATTCGTGTAATGCGTAAAGCTGTCAGCTATAAAGCAGTGGATGCGAAATGAAAGTTAAGGTCAAGGCAATTTTGAAGTTTACGAAGCTTTTCATTTTGAGAAGAAAGGAGAGGAGATTTGGCCTTTCAAATACCAAAAAGGCAAAAAAATAAAGAGCAGGGAAGGAGATTTAGACACAGGATCAGACTTTTATGTTGCTGATATTGAATATAGAATATGCTTTGTGGCTGCGTAATGTGTACCGGTAGTTCTTTAGAAGAGCTTAATTATACTCTATTCAGAACTTGAACCGATAGTTCTTTAGAATACGATTTGTAGCTGTAGAATATGCACTGGTAGTTAAATTATTAGTATGACGACTTCTGCAGTGCGATTCATCACCAGGGCCTCTTGCCATCCTTTTTTCCCTCCACCACTTTGTATGCTAGCACTTTTAAGGTTTGGCATGCTGAAACTCAAAATAGGTCACTCGCGCCTTCAATAATAGTGCTCCCAACAAGCAGCAAGCTGTACGTGATTAAAATTTATTAGGGCATCGGCGAGCACTTTAAATCTTGCTACTATCTCTGTTGGTCATGGCAATTGCCTGACATATTTTGCATGATATCCTGTAAGATTTTGGTTCATCTTTTTAACCAATTTTCAATCGATTAAAGAAACAAAGACTCGTTACTGGGCGAGGCCAAGAAAATGCTCCGGTCGTCCTTGATAGCTTGTTTTCATGGCCCTGCTAGCAAGGGTTTTTTTTCTTTCTTTAATTGGAGTTTGTAAGCTTGATCATGCTCTAAAAAGACACTGCCAGAAACTTTTTCACTCGGTGAATAGATCTGCACTCAATTTCTAGAATTCCTAACGCAATAACTTTTACAGCCGAGGTTGACCCGGGCTCTAGGACAGAATTTTCCAAATTTAAAAGACAAGTCATTCACACTGCCTCGATGGCAGGAGAATCCCCATGAAAAACAAAAACACTAGGACCTAACAAAGCCAAGTCCAACTGAACCATCAAGCAACAGAGGAGCTAAACCAGGAGGAGGACAGAACCGCTTCTCTGAGCTCCAATCCTAGCCATATGATCAACGCAAAAGTTACCTCGCCGCAAATGTATGATTGAAGTAGCGTGGCCACTTTGAGGGGACTTGTAGGCTAAGCCCAACAATAACAAAAAGCCTATAAAGAAAACGGGCCAGAGAAGGACTCTCCTTGGGGGTAATTTCATGGGCCACTTCTCGATCCAGACGCAAGGTACAGAAAACCCATAGCCCAAACGCCCTTTAAACCACTCTCTTGGGGAAAACCCACGCAGTCTTTGTGCTATGTGCATATGTTCTCGGCTGCTCTCACCTCTCCGCCGTTTCTCATCCTCCTCTCCTATCCTTCTTTCTATACCTCCTCGCCGTCTCCTCTCCTGCTCCTCTTCCACGACAATGGCTGTCTCCAAGTCTCACGCAAGAGACGAAGGCTATCTCAATATAGCAATCCCTAAACGCATCCAGCTCTTCCAATCCATTCAATCTGAACAACTCTCCCGCCTCCAATCCCTCCCTCACGACTCCATCAAGTAAAGCCCTAGTTTTTCTCTATTTTCATGAGAAAAAAATTGTATTCTATTTTTTTTTTTCATTTTCGTTTTGATTTTAGGATTACTTTGCCTGACGGGACAGTGAAGGAAGGAAAAAGATGGGAATCGTCTCCTATGGACATCGCAAAGGAGATTGGGAAGAGTGTGGCTGGGAACGCGTTGATCTCTCAAGTCAACGGGGTGTTGTGGGACATGAATAGGCCTTTAGAGGATGACTGTGAGCTCAAGATTTTTAATTTTGAAAGTGACGAAGGACGCGACACCTTTTGGCATTCCAGTGCTCACATTCTTGGCCAGGTATTCGTGCTGGTTTGATTAGCGGCAATGTACTACTATCTTTTTACTTCAGTTTTAATGTCGCGTTTAATCATTGTGAGGTTCAGGCTCTTGAGATGGAGTATGGTTGCAAGCTTTGCATTGGGCCCTGTACCACTAGAGGAGAGGTATAATATTTATATATTTTACATACGTGGAAATTCAAATATTCCTCTATTTGTCGACCTTTTTGCTATGGTTTCTGGTTAATTGTGACTTATTCCATAATGTCTGTTCTTGCAATATCAAAATAAACTTTACTGGGATTGCCAAGTTGGTTATATATGTTTCACATGTTTACTGCTATATTTAAACAAAGATACTGGTAAATCTATCATGAAGTTTAATAATAAAGAAAGCGATTGCCAGTTTTCACTTTCCTGAAGCTAATGTACCACGATCGGGATCACATGATTCAGATCAAAATTCCAAGGGGAGGGGGTGGAGAGAATTAGTGTTAACCCTGGTTTAAATTATCAGACAGGGTAAGCAACACACACACACACACGTGTGTGTGCGACGAGTATTATCTGAAAGCTTATTTCTGTGTGCGCGACGAGTATTATCTGAAAGCTTATTTCTGTGATATTCCCATTTTTATGGTACAGAGATTTGTGTTTCTTTTTCAATGAAGCTTAACTTTTTTCTTATAATGTCCTGTTGATTGCTCTTCAGAGGCCCTTTTTCTTTTAGGTGCTCTGTCAGGACTGTGTCATCTCTTTGACCATTTAATGTATGAGCTCCTGTTCATTCAGCACAATTTTCTGTCATTTTTATCCTTTAAATGGAAACTATCTGGATGGTTACATAAATCCCCCTCTCCAACAACAAAATATTAGCAACTCAATTCCTGCTTTAAGTGCTTAAAAATGTTGCATTTTCATCATGCCCTTTGCTTCCATGGCTGCATGTCTTTTTGAAGGCCTATCTAAGTTTCAATTTGAAATTCATATGTTCTTCTTGCAGGGATTCTATTATGATGCATTCTATGGTGAATTGGGATTGAATGATGATCACTTCAAGAAGATTGATGCAGCTGCATTGAAAGCTGTTGCGGTATTGTTTCATCCTTTAAGTCAGCATCGCCGTGTTGTTGTTTTGGCTCTCTAGTATATAAAGGAAGGCTTACTGTTGTTGGTCTAGCAGAGTTATATTGCTCATTTTTGTAGATAATCTTGAGCATGATTTGCAAATATGTTTATATAGAAGTATTATATAGCTGATTCTTTTTTCTTGTTCTAAACATCTTCCCATGAGAGCTGTCTCGTATGACATGTGGATGGGCATGCAGATAATTCCTATTCATGCAATACATAAATATAATATAGCTCATTATTATGACCAAGGGCTGGTTGGGTTGACATGTTGCTTATTTTTGTTGACGATCTTTAGTATGTTTTGCAATCTTGTTAATATAAGAAGTGACTTGACAGGGTAAATGATTTAAAATGTGAAGTTGGTAATGATAGAGAGTACTGCATATAACCATTTCTTGTTCTAAATATTTGTATATGAGAGCTGGATACATTTGACATGTGGAAGGGCACGCAGATAATTGCTATTCATGCAACAAATATATAGAATGTAACTAATTATAACGAGTGGGGATGGGCTGGGTTGGCATATATGTTAGGATTGCATCACATGCATACAAACACAAGATTTATAATGATTTTCTAATTTGTTGGATTCTTTTTGATGCATGGTTGCTGTAACCAATGTCTCTTTTTCATCATGCTCTCAATGTTCTTAGTGGTGCAGTTGAGTTGTGCTTACTGATTTGATAATTCTTACATATCAGGAGAAACAACCTTTTGAGCGCATTGAAGTATCGCGGGAACAGGCACTTGAGATGTTTTCAGACAATAATTTTAAGGCAAGTTTAAGTATCAGTTTTATCTGAAACAAAAATGTCTTCATGGTTTTTTCCCCTTCCTAGACAAAAGAAATCCACCTTTCTCATTTTTTTTTCAAAAATTGGTTATTATCAGGTTGAAATAATCAAGGATCTGCCTGCAGACAAAACTATAACTGTATACAGATGTGGCCCATTGGTAGATTTGTGTCGTGGACCTCATATACCTAATACTTCCTTTGTGAAAGCTCTTGCATGTTTGAAGGTGATACTTTATCATGTGTTTTTAATCATTATTTCATAGACAATCAATTTGCTTTATCAAATCTTTACTTTTGAATTTGTAATTGCAGGCTTCATCGGCTTATTGGAGAGGCAATAGAGATCGTGAAAGTTTACAAAGAGTGTATGGAATTTCTTATCCTGATAAAAAACGTTTGCAGGTGCCTTTTTCATCTCTCTGCCCTTTGAACTGCATTTCTACTTTTCAATTGCAGAGACTTTTGCAACATTCAACTGTGTGCTGTTCCTTAGTTAGTTGAGTTGAATGCTTTCAAATGGTGTATGATTTTGTGTGATTTCAGTTTTGGTGTCCAAACTGGGTTATGGGCTCATATAATGACTCATATCATTGTAGATTTTTAATTCATAGGGTTGCTATATTGGTTGTTAAAAGTCCCAATAAAGAAAAACAAGGGAAAAGAAAAATCTTTGTCTTGACTGTTTTCTCTTGGAAAAAATGTTTTATTGTGTATACTCTGACTAAATTTTTCACATAAACACCGAAACAGGTTGCTTTATTATTATATGGTGTGCACTTATCAGTGTGCCATAAAAGCAAAAGCAAAATAAAAATTGTGATTGCTACAGAAGATTTGCCTATGAATGTTGGGTTTAAACAAACTATCATTAATCTAGTTAAACCAATGAAACCAACAAGCACTTCGAATCATAATGGGAACTATTGTTTTGAAGCCTTAGATTTGTGTCTCTCAAGAAAAATTTAAAGACATAGAGAAGTTGTTTCTTGAGTCAATAGCTCAGGGTGTACTGTTGAGGGAGGCTGCCTACTGTCTGATTAAACTGGAAAAGGCCCCACAGCATTGTGTGTATAAAGAAACGTGTAACAGGGTTGCATGGCACAGATCGGACAATGTAAACAGTTAGTTTATTTTCCATAAGAATCTTTAATCTCTAATAGCAAAACTATGAGTTTTCTCTGATTTGGAGAGGTTAAACCAGTGATATGAAAATGGGAAATGTGATTATATTATTTAGTTTAAGATGCCACTATTTCTTTTCTAAACTTTAATTTCTTGTGCAGGAGTATAAGCAGTTCTTGGAAGAAGCAAAGAAGTACGATCACAGGTTGCTGGGTATTAAGCAGGAGTTATTCTTTTGTCATCCATTGAGGTGTGATATGGGCTTTTGTATTTTGATCATCTCTATAGGTTGTTGCATTCCATGATGCTGATTTTGCATCTTTGGTGTGCTTCAGTCCAGGAAGTTGGTTTTTCCTTCCACATGGAACTCGGGTTTACAACAAACTAATGCAATTTATAAAAGATGAGTACAGAAGAAGAGGTTATGAAGAGGTTGAAGTTATAAATGCTTGTCTGGATCTTATATTATATAATGTCTAAAAGTGATTACCTAAATTTATCAAGTTTGGCAGGTTAAGTCTCCAAATATTTATAACATGAAACTTTGGGAGACATCTGGTCATGCTGCCAATTACAAGGAGAATATGTTTTTGCTTGAGGTGAGTGAAATATATTTTTCTGAATTCTGATGGAGGACAGTTAGATGATCAATTGGTGCAAGTTATTTGCAGTGTGAAGTTGGAGGACAATGGGTTATTATGGGAAATAATCACAGATATACATGTGACTGATTATTATTTTTTTTGTTGGGGGGTGTGTGTGAAAACATGCTTGGTAGGCTGATGGATTGACAAGCACCACATAAAAATTTATGTAAAGTGAAAAAATTCTTCTAGGAGTTATGTTTGCAAAATTCTGAATGATCGGAACTGCAAAGGATCTACAGGCGGTGCATGTCATTTTGAATGATGAGAGCATTCTTATTTTACGTCTTGGAATTTAAGAAAAAATGCCGTGATGATACTTTGTGTGCTGCAGATTGAAACAATTTATAAAAGATGAGTACAGAAGAAGAGGTTATGAAGAGGTTGAAGTTATAAATGCTTGTCTGGATCTTATATTATATAATGTCTAAAAGTGATTACCTAAATTTATCAAGTTTGGCAGGTTAAGTCTCCAAATATTTATAACATGAAACTTTGGGAGACATCTGGTCATGCTGCCAATTACAAGGAGAATATGTTTCTGCTTGAGGTGAGTGAAATATATTTTTCTGAATTCTGATGGAGGACAGTTAGATGATCAATTGGTGCAAGTTATTTGCAGTGTGAAGTTGGAGGACAATGGGTTATTATGGGAAATAATCACAGATATACATGTGACTGATTATTATTTTTTTTGTTGGGGGGTGTGTGTGAAAACATGCTTGGTAGGCTGATGGATTGACAAGCACCACATAAAAATTTATGTAAAGTGAAAAAATTCTTCTAGGAGTTATGTTTGCAAAATTCTGAATGATCGGAACTGCAAAGGATCTACAGGCGGTGCATGTCATTTTGAATGATGAGAGCATTCTTATTTTACGTCTTGGAATTGCCATGATGATACTTTGTGTGCTGCAGATTGAAAATCAAGAATTTGGACTGAAACCAATGAATTGCCCTGGGCACTGTTTGATGTTTCAACATAGAGTTCGTTCATATAGAGGTAAGTTCATTTTCTTTGAAATTTTATCCACTTTTATCATCTTTATGTTTGTTTGGGGGGCTGAGGTGGGGGTTGTTTGCACTCTTTTCCCTTGAATTATTTTTAACAGAATTGCTGAGGTGTTTTTGAATGTTCTTGTGTCATGGGTATGGAAATTATGTGCATTTAATTATAAGGATGCAATTGCTGTTTGTGGAAAGCTCTAATGATTTGAATGTTTGAGTGGGGTCCGTCATACTCCTGCCATCCTATCTTAAATGTTTAGATTTGTTTTCCAGAACTTCCTCTTCGATTGGCTGATTTTGGGGCCTTGCATCGCAATGAAGCAAGTGGGGCACTCACTGGACTGACACGTGTTCGAAGATTTCAGCAGGTAGGCATTTAGTATAAAAAAAAAAACTTATTTTAGGTTTATAACTGCCTGCTCTGTACTTAAAGGTTATGAATTTAGGTTTCTGAGTTCATCCGTATTCTTTTAAGAGCTGCAATGAACTCTTACCACATATGTGGTGTTGAAGTTTCACAAAGTTCAAGAGCTCATCTATATTGATGTGATCAATCGTTAGCTGTGGCATTGTACTAGTAATCTATTCATTTATTTTCCAATCCATCACTTTAGCTTTTAATACATGGCTATCATTGTATCTGCTCTTCTGTCCCTCATTTGTCTTGCATTTCGCTACTACAGGATGATGCTCACATATTCTGCAGGAAATCCCAGGTAATATAAGTTACATTGACACCTGACTAACCTCTTAAATGTCTTTTTGTTGCCTAACCATAATAGAAATGGTGTGTTCTGTTTTTTCAGATAAAAGATGAAGTCAGAGGTGTCTTAGAATTCATTGACTATACTTATGGAAAATTTGGATTCACTTATGAGCTGAAGCTATCTACGGTATGATGAACTTGAATTTTGTGTAAATTGATAGCTTAGGGAAATGATCCTGTCAACTCAGATAAAATTTTGCATGTTCTTAAATGAAACCTGAATTTGAAAAATCTTAAGATTCAAAAAATATCATTTTGCCTTTACCTTCGTGGATTTATATACAGAATGATTTATTCCTTGACCAAGCGAAGCTTTGTTCAAGGCATAAAAGATTGATGGAGATGTTTTGAATTTGTTTAGATAGTTGTGGTTCAGCCATTTTGAACTGATGCAATTTTTCTGTTCTTCAGCTATTTTTGAAAACATTTTTGTAATTAAGTTTATCATTTCCCATTTTCGTGAAGAAATTGATGAATTTTCAGTGTCTTGCTTCCCAGAAAAAGAAAAAAAGGTTTTTATTTTGTGCCTCCTGATGTCTGTATTATAGAGGCCAGAGAAATACCTAGGAGTCTTGGAAACATGGGATGAAGCTGAGAAAGCTCTTACAGAAGCACTGGATGAGTTTGGGAAGCCATGGAAGGTAATGTTATTCTTAGGTACTTCTGGTCTTTGCTTGAATTCTTGGTTGCAGATTTGCATAAATGCAGTTGAAATTCTTCTACATGCCAGTTTGTCATGCCTCTGACGTCTGCAATCTGCCGACTATAGATTTTCTAGAGAATTAATTTCCATGGAAAAATTATATCAATAAGTTCTATGATATTTTTTGAAGACCAACAAGTTCACTTATCATCTTTTTCTTTCAAAGAAGTTCATATTTTGTTATAATCCACATAATATCCAGACAATGTATTTCAAAAATAAGATTATAATTGATCTTGTTTCTTTTTAAAATTAAGATTTACAAATATGAAGAATTTTATTATTTCTTTGTTATAATCATAATTACATTTGAATTTTTCTGAGGTTTAGAATTATATCAATATAATAACAATTAGTTACAATAATAAACTATTTTACAATTGAGAATTTTTTTTTAAAAAAATGGTGATAAGAATTTGTTTAAACAAACTAAAACAAAGAAAAAGAAAATAAAAAGCACTCCAAATTGTAATTTTGTTAAATATGGAGGGTAATATAGCTATCATAACCAAATAAGAATTTTCTTTTAAGATAAATTATAAAAGTGAACTTATTTGTCCAAAAAAGCATCTTAGAACTTGATAATCATTTATCTTTCAAAAGTCAACGTATTGGTACTTTTCCCAATTTTTTATTCAGAATTTTTAATGTATCTTTAGTTCATCGACCAATTGATGAAAACACACCAGAGGCTGTAGCTGTTAATATTCAAACTGCCTTTTAGTTTCCCTTGCAGAGTTTAGAGTATGTTACTGTACCCATTGCAACATATTTAACTGTGCCTAGAATTCGTCAATTCGATGAGTCTTTGAATAATATGAAAGTTAGGTGCAACATATTTAACCGTGCTTAAGATTTGTTGATTAGATGTGAGGCTTTGGATCATATGAAAGTTATGCCAATTTTCTGAAGTCTGGAAGAATGTGGTCAACTACAGAAAGTAGTTTGATTTATAGATGACTTTTGGTTTTTCTTATTTCCTATTTCCATTTCTATCCCTATGAAAATTTCAGCCAATTGAGGTGTCTAGAAAATAATTGGTTTCTTTTCTTATTACATATTCTCATTTTTCTTTTGTTAGCTTTGACTCTGATGTGATATTTTGGTTCATGTTCTACAGATTGATGAAGGTGATGGTGCATTTTATGGACCGAAGATAGATATCAGTGTATCTGATGCATTAAAGAGGAAATTTCAGTGTGCCACATTGCAGGTTCAGATTGTCGACATATATTTTTTCTAGCTTTCTGGCTTTTAAACAGTAATGCAGAATTTTCATGTAATGAATGAATGTCTGTCTCTGTTTGCAGCTTGACTTCCAGCTTCCAGATCGTTTTAAGGTGGAATATTCAGCAGAGGATGAAGCCAAAAGTGAAGCACCTGTTATGATACATAGAGCGATCCTAGGTTCTGTTGAGCGTATGTTTGCTATACTATTGGAGCATTACAAGGGCAAGTGGCCCTTCTGGCTTAGTCCACGTCAAGCGATTGTCTGCCCTGTGTCTGAGAAATCCCAGTCTTATGCATTACAGGTTAGTTTGCTGTATGCTTTTTAACCCCTAGATGAGTAGTGTATAATATAAAATTTTGCTTGTCAACACTCCTGAATTCTCCCATACAATTTCATTAACCTTATGATTGGCATAGGAATGCATGCAGGGTGACGGGGTTTTACTTCGCATGACTTTACGGGTCTTGGTTTTCTTGTTACATTTACTGACATGATAATCACCTGAGCCCCTTGTTTCATGCACAAAATTGATGGCAAATATTTATTTTATTGTATCGGATATACTCTGTACATGATGACATGGTCTAAGTTTTGCTTGTATATTTTTCTATCACACTACTCAGCTTGGATGTTTTTGTTGAGGTAGTTTCAGTTGTGTAACCAGTCGTGTCATGGCATGGTAGCTTTCAAGTTTATCATTGAGCATTGTTTGTGAAAGGGACTCGCTAATTCCATCCTTGCAGTGATAGTGGATTACAGGGTCCTTTTTTGTTGTGGATTGATATAGTTTTGGGTGCAAAATGATGCAATGCGAATAGCTTTTTGATTGTATTATTTATCATATTTGGACCCTAATAGCTCTGAACACAAATCAATTCATTTTATTGTTACAATTAATAGGTGCGGGATCAGATTCATGAAGCTGGCTATTTTGTCGATGTGGACGCAACCGACAGAAAGATCCAGAAAAAGGTGCTTTTGCAACTTCCATCCTTGACATCAAATTAGCATCCTACAAACCAATAACATATTCTTTGTAATGAATGCCCTTCCTGGATTCTGGTGACATGCATTGGCTCAATTGTGGTCTTTCAGTGGTTATTATTGCAAATATGGATGCTACACGATTATATTTTATTAAATTTTTAGCCTTTTGTTCAGGTACGAGAAGCTCAGTTGGCACAGTACAATTATATACTGGTTGTTGGCGAAGAGGAATCCAAAACTGGACAGGTAATACAGTTTTTCTATTAATTGAACTAAGTATACATGATTGCTTGATTTAACAAGTGTGACCTGCTCCTTTTTATAGGGATGCTGAGTATTTTACTTGCCTTAGATACAAGTGAATATTAGTTTTGTGGATTTCCAAATCCATGTAGATCATCAGCATATTTTCAATTAGGAATCACCAAATACTAGCATGAATCTGGAGATTATGCTCTAGGAACCTCTTTTATTTTGGAACCAGTCATAAACTATAATAAATATCCCAGTGTTATCCTAAAAGATCTCTATATTTTCTTCTCTTTTCCAATAAAAAAAAATAATTGTTGTTGTCCTGCGTTGTTTCCACTCCTAAAAGATCTATATTTGGACACTATTTTCTTCTCTTTTCCAATAAAAAATAATAATTGTTGTTGTCCTGCGTTGTTTCCAGGTGAGTGTGCGGGTGAGAGATAACGCTGACCATTCAGTGATGAGTATTGAGAGCCTCCTTGGACTCTTCAAGGAATTAGTTGCAGATTTCCGTTAGGTGGATACACATGTTCAGAGTGATTATTACTAGTGGTCTTGTACTATGACTATACGTTTTGCTTCTGAGCAACAGCTGATTCTTAGGTTGGTTTCCCATCAAAGGGAAACGAATAGAGAATCCTTTAGTGTATGAATGTGTACGCCCCCCACCCCCATTATTCCCCAATTTACACATTGGATGTCGAAGAAAGGGAAAATTCCTCCAGGCTTTCGCTTTCCTCTTACGATGGTTTATGTTCAATTCCATGTCTGTTTCTATGCGCACCAACTTTCATGTCTTTATTCAATGAATAAAAACATACGAACAGTGTTCTTGTAAACATATGAACAGTGTTCTAGTAAGAGCTAGTTATCCAGCAAACTGGCAATGGTTGCATCTTTAGGATCCATAGATATTGAGAAGTAGGAAGCTGGCCTTTTTCTACAGATGTACTCATCGAGCAACCAGCAGACGGAAAAGCAACAGGGATGCTGTCTTGAAATTTGCTTTCCTTTTTTTGCGTCTTTAATGGGTCCTCGTGATGGTGAGAGAAGCCAGGATTTATATTCATCCCAGGTCTTTCATATTCCTGGTTTCTGCGCTTAAAAATTGAAATCATTATCTATACTTCTATGGTGTTGATAGACCAGCCTCGTCCATGGTGAAAAGCATAGCAGTTCGATCAGCCAGCTTGGAGCTTTGTGGACCTCGTCTCCGATCTCTATATATTGGTATTCTATGTAGTGGTCTCGGTCGATGAGAACAGATACTAGTTAATGCACTGATTTATTTAGAAAGATAGCGCTACTAAAAGAACATTTTCCATATGGTGTTAATGCTAGAAATTACGTCTTTTAAAAATTAAAGAAGTAGAAAATTTTCATTTTTTATTACAACAAGTGTATGGGATGGTTTTGTATCTAAAAAACCAAGAAACGAAGGAAGATAGAGAACATTTTCTCTTTAAAATCTCAAGTCACCTTATTATATGAAGAAAATAAAAGTATCAAATATTACAATATAAATATCAAATATATTGAATTATCCTGGTCATGCATCCAATAAGGCTTTAGAATTAATAAATATCCTTTTGCACTATTTGTTTACGAATATTCTTGTTTGAATGCATGACTAAAGTTGAAATAAAATTAGTTTGAGAGCATAATTGAAAAAAATATATTCAAGAAATCGAGATGAGAATATGGTGATAAACATTATAGTATTTGCAACTTTTAACTTTAATCACATACATTTAGTAAATATTGCTATTAAAGCATCTTATAAAATTCAAGAAAAAAAAACCTTGGTAAAATATTTATAAGCCAATGTAAGACAATACAACAAATAATTATGTTTATCGTAATTTCATGTCTTGTTTTAACTTTTTTATTCAATGACAAGAACTTGTGGTTGATAGATCCAATAACAGAGTCTTATATTTTAGAGGCCGAAAACCGTACCAGTTATAAACAAACACGAGAACTAAAGGCGATCTTTATATCTTCAAATGCATGATTGCTTTGCTCATAAAAGAAAAGGTGGGTTACGAATAACTATTATGAACACCAATTATGACCGTTCAGTAAATAAATTATTAAAAAAAATAGAAAATACATAAAAGTAAATAAAGCCCAAGTACAAGCATATATGGATTTATTGTCCGAAAACACATTTAGATTAAACAAGTAGTGTTGATTATCGAAAACGTATAATTAAGCTAATACATGGTTCGGATTTCACTGGGAATGTGAGATAAGGCAGTGTTGCTCGCCTGGCACGCCAGGGAGGCAGAGATCACGATGTCAGTCTTGTGAGATATGGGGGCCTGATCAGAAGTGATAAAAGTTTGCAAATTTTCAAAATGTAACCCTAGTTTACTGAAGCACGTGAAAACGAGATCACATGCAACACCATAATTACCGGGAAAGATTGTGCGATTAAACTCTGATGCCTCCCGGACGTCTCTTCTGGGTGGACGCTGGGCTTCTGTGTTTCCCAGCCTTGTTTTGTATCTCAACAAAGCAAGTTCTTGGTGCTTAAGATTTGTCGACAAGGCATGCGTTGGGAATTTCTGAAACCTTTCATTCGGCTCCTTCATGTCACTGGGCCTCCTGCACTTTGTTGTCAACCTCCTAGGTTTTATGATTTAAAATATATAGTTTTGGCATATACTGCCGCACTATTCTGAATGTTTCTATCGAGATCTTTTGAATGTAAAAATATATTTTGGAGTGGTTATTGTGTTTTTAAATAAAAAATTAAATTATATAAGAAGTGATATATGATTTGAATGATTTAAAAATTTAAAAATAATTTAAATAATTAATAAAAATATAATTTAATTAAAAAATTAAAATAATATTTTTAAAAAATATTAAAATAATATTATATTAGATTATTCTTGGATCAACTTGAATTAATTGGTTAAATTCATTAATCAAATTATAATATCTTGATAATTTCATTAAAAATATATATAAAAAATAAATTTAATTTTCAATTAATTTAATTTTAACGGATTAATTTGAATTAATTGGTTAAATTCATTGATAAAATTATAATATTTTGATAATTTCATTAAAAAAATAAAATAAAAATTTAATTTTCAATTAATTTAATTTTAAAAAATAATATTTAATTAAAAAATTAGATTATTATATCAGACCTAAATAATAAAATTAAGATAGTTTTATAAATAAATAAAAAATAAACTTTCGTGTTGATTGTTATATTGAAATGTCAAGTACTTTCAAGTACATGTTAATAATAATATATATGTAAAAAATTCTAATACGAAAGGAAATTAAAATGGAATCACATTCTTTGAATCCGAAAGGAAAGAAAGTATAGTTTAGGATTTGTCAGGTAGTGCGATGGTAAAGAACGTCGGCAGCGCACCAAATTGACTTGACGGGGGCCGTCCAAGGTGAATGGTCAATAAAAAACAAAGAGGTATATGTCATCGTGACATTCTCAAAATCAAAAGCCATTTGCAGACACATATTACAAGCTATTGAAAACGGAAAAACACACATACAGGCAAGAATGGAGGGGGAAATCAAGAACTTGATCAAGGCATCTGTCTCAGTTTTGGCATCTTTAATCTACTGTCATTTCATATCATCCAAGATCCCAAAGGGTAAGCTTAGGCTTGTCTCTCTCCTTCCCATTTTCTACCACTTCATAACCCTTCCTCTCTACTTCTCCTACTTATTTCCAAATGCTATTGCCTCCTTGTTCATCTCCTGGTTAGCCAATTTCAAGCTTGCCCTCTTTGCCTTCGATCACGGTCCGCTTTCATGTGACCAGTCCAACTCCCTCCTTCAATTCATCTCTAAAGCTCTACTTCCCATCAAAATAAAGCAAAATGAGAAGTACCCGTCTTCTCAAACACCCCAAAACTCACCGAAATTAGCTCTGAATTTGGCGACGAAAGTCTTGCTTTTTACCATCTCAGTTGGCGTGAATGATTACAAGGACAGGTTTCACCAAAAATTGGTCCTTGCTTTATACTGTTGCATGGTATACTTGTCGGTCGACATAATTTTTGGCGTATTCAACGCTACGGTACATGCCATACTACACATGGAGCTAGAACCACCGTCCAATGAGCCTTATTTGTCAACATCTTTGCAAGATTTCTGGGGCAGAAGGTGGAACCTCATGGTAACAAACCTACTGCGCCATACCGTATACAAACCCGTGAGGTCTTCTTTGGGATCCTTGCTAGGTCAGTGGGCCCCGCTCCCGGCAGTGGCGGCTTCTTTCCTAGTCTCCGGTCTCATGCACGAGCTGCTATTTTACCGCGTCACACGAGCAAGCCCTTCATGGGAAGTCACGCTGTTCTTTGTGCTGCAAGGGGTGTGTTTGGTGGTGGAGCTTGCTATGAAGAGGTGGTTTGGGGGTAGATGGCAGCTGCATTGGGCGGTTTCAGGGCCATTGACGGTGGGGTTCGTAATGATGACAGCCATGTGGCTATTCTTTCCGCCACTAGTTAGATCGGGTGCCGACGAACATGCCATCGAGGAGTGCAAGATGTATTTTCACTTTGTGAAAGAAGAGGGGCTAAAATGGATAGGAAAGTTAATTTGATGCTGTATTTCTTACTTTGCATAAAATTGTATTTAACCTCTTTTTTGACTTTTGTGTTGGGAAACTTTATTAGTGTGGGAGAGGATCATTCTTCCTTTCTTTTTTACATCTATTATTGCGCTCCACAAGCATTAATTATTTATTTTTTTAAATCATATTTTTTTATTTTTTTAAATAATATCTGTTGATCTCCACCATTATATTTAATTAATTACTAACAAACCAAACGGCCGACACGATTCACTCTTCACCTTTAACGATCGATCCACGCTTCACCTTTAACTAAACACAACTGTAAATTAAAATATTACGAAATACTATCATGATGGTGGGCTAAGTCCACGTGGAGGTTGGCGGCCAGAAAAAACAAAAGTATATTGAATATTTAAAGATACAGTGAAATTTGACGTTGAACTGATTCGTTGAGATGGTGGTTGAAGTACTTTTAAATAATTTTTTGTATTAAAATATATAATAATAATTTTTTTATATTTTAAAAATTATTTTTAATATCATAATATCAAAATTATTTTATTTAAAAATATTAATAAAAATTTATTAATTTAGAATAAATAAAATAATTAAAATTTTTTAAAATTTTAACAAACATATATTTAAAAAATCATAGACTAATTAACAAAAAAAATCTAAAAACCGTGATGAAATTACTGTAGACGGTACTGTGAGCATAGGCTCCGTCTAATGTAGACTTTAACGGTGCAGTGATTGTTTTGCCTCAATATTATTAGTAGGGTTTTTGGGGCTCGCTCTTCTGGCTATTTTGGCTTTTCCATTCCTTTCTTTCTGACACCATAATTGTTTTTTTGTTTTTTTTTTTGTGCTTTTTTACACAAAGAAAAATAAAGAGAAGTGAAAAGGGGGGCTTGGAGGGACAAGTTAGGAGCTGCTGGGAGAAGAAATTTTTCATCTTTTATTTTTATATCTTTCATTTTGAACTGCGTGTTAGAATTCACAGAAAAGAGGGATGTTTTCAGATTTAATTTGTTGTTTTATTTTTGTAATGAGTATTTTTTTATTTAATTTATTTTGTTAATATTATTTTTTTATCTAATTATCAAACTTTCATGATATGGATTTCGAGTTTTACTGATTAATTCTGGCTTTATTTTTATTTTATTTTTTCAATTAATTTTTTTATTTAATTTAATTTGTCAATATTAAATTTTTTTATTTAATTATTAAATTTTCATAATACGAATCCTAAATTTAACGAGTTAATCTAGCTAATTATGGGTTAACCCATAAATTTTTTTCCTTGTTAAGTTATCAAATTTTCATAACATAAATCATAATTTGACAGGCTAGGTTGGTTGATGGGTTAACATAATTAATTAGATTTTTTTTTTATTGGTGTTTTTTTTCTTGTAGGTTTGTTTTCCATTATTCTTTTCTTTTAAATTAATTTTTTTGTTTAATAGTTTTAAAAATTAAGTTAATCTTTTTTCTCATTACTATTTTTCTTCCTGTAGGTTTGTTTTCCTTTGTTTTTTTTTTTTAAATTAATCTTTTTCTTTTCTTTTCTTTTTCTCTTTTGGATTATTGTTATTTTTCTTTATGTAGGTTTATTTTCCTTTGTTTTTTTCCTTTAATTTTTTTAATAGTTTTTCCAGCTCTTTTCTTTCTTTTTTTTCTTTTTAATTGTTTTTTAAAAATTCAGTTTGTTAAATTAATTTTTTTTTCTATTTAGTTATCAAATTTTCATGACACCGATCCCAAATTTGACGGGTCAACCCAATTAATTCATATTTTTTTTCTTTTTCTTCGTTGTTTTTTTCTTCCTGTATGTTTTTCTTTGTTTTTTTTTTCTTTTTAATTAATCTTTTTCTTGTTTAATTTAGTTTTGTTAATGCTAATTTTTTTCTATTTAGTTATCAAACTTTCATGACACGGATCTCAGATTTGGATGTTTAACCCAGTTAATTCTGAGTTAACTCGTTAATTTGTTTTCTTATTGATTTATCAAACTTTTATAACATGAATCTCAGGTTTGATGGGTTAATATGGTTTGAAGAGGTAACTCATTTAATTCAGATTTTTTTAAAAAAATTAGTTTGTTAGTGTTATTTTTTTTATTTTAGTTATCAAATTTTCGTGAAACAAATTTCAGACTTGACGGGTTTACCTTATTTAAAGAGTTAACCTATTTAATTCAGATTTTTTTGAAAAAATTAATTTGTTAATATTAATTTTTTTCTATTTAATTATCAATTTTTCACGACATGGATTTCAGTTTTGACTAGTTAACCTGATTTGAAGAGTTAATCCAGTTAATTCATATTTTTTAAAAAATTTAGTTTGTTAATATTAATTTTTTTTTATTTAGTTATCAAATTTTTGTGATATGAATCCCAAGTTTGACATGTTAATTCATATTTTTTTTTCATTAGTTTCTTTTCCTGTAGTTTTTTTTCCCTTTGTTTTTTTCTTTTTAGTTATTTTGTTTGTTTAGTCTAGTCCATTAATATTATTTTTTTTTCTATTTAGTTATCGCACTCTCATAACATGAATTTTAGGTTTGACGAGTTAGCCTGGTTTGGTTGGATAACCCAGTTGATTTGGATTTTTTATTAGTTTTTTTTTTCTTGCAATCTTATCTCTTAGTATTATAATTGGCTATAACTAAAAAGCATCAATCATTTATTGTGGACTGCATAGTGAAGTTTACAGTGAAAATGCTGATGTTTTTAGTTTTTTTTCTATTTTGTGTTTTTGCATTGTTTTTTTCTTTTTAATTAATTTGTTTTGTTTGATTTAGTTTGTTAATTTTTTTTCTATTTAGTTATCAAATTTTCATGACATGAATTTCAGGTTTCACGAGTTAACCCGGTTAATTCATTTTTGTTTTTTTTTTTTCTTATGAGTTTTTTCTACCCATAGTTTTTTTTCTTTGTTTTTTAATTAATCTTTTTTGTTTATTTTAGTTCATTAATATTAATTTTTTTAATTTAGTTATCACGCTTTCATGATACGAATTTCAGGTTTGACGGGTTAACCCAACTGATTCAGATTTTTTTCTTTTTCTTCATTAGTTTTTTCTTTCGATTTTATTTTTTAATATTGTAACTATAACTAAAATATATTAACCTTTCACTATGGATTGCATTGTACAAATCCACACTGAAAAACAAATGTCTTTTAATTATAGGTTCTTTTCATTGCTTTTTTCTCTATATGTTTTTTGTTTAATTTAATTTATTAATATTAATTTTTTTATATTTAGTTATCACATTTTCATAACATGGATCCTAAGTTTGACGGATTAACTTGGTTTAGTAGATTAATCTTCTTGATTCAATTTTTTTAATTAGTTTTTTTTCTATTGTTATCTTTTAATATCGTGGATTAACTTGGTTTAGTAGGTTAATCTTCTTGATTCAATTTTTTTTAATTAGTTTTTTTTTCTATTGTTATCTTTTAATATCGATCTGATTGGAAGTTAAATTTCATGATTTATTTTATTTGTTTTTTATTGAATTATCATAATCTCACGAGAAGATTTTATTATATCCCTACTCGCAAAACACTATTCATTAGAATAATGCTTTATTTTTTTTCCTTTTAATTATTTTTAAATTTTATTTTATTTTTTAATATTAATTTTTTTCTATTTAGTTTTCACACTTTTATAACACAATCTTGTAGCCAAATCTGTATCCAAAGCTCTTCGGTTTGATGTTGCAGCTAAATCGAAGGCTTTTGGATCTGGTGTTGCAGCTAAATTCACTCAAATTTAGATAATGCAAGTTTAATATTATTATTAATATTAAAATTAAAATTATTATTATTATTATTATAATGTTATAATGAATAGTGTTGATATAATAATTAATAAATTTTAAAAAAATATTATTAGTTACAATTTTTTTTTGGTTTTTTTCTTTTTAACTAGTATTTTTTTTGTTTAATTTAGTTTATTAATATTTTTTTTCTATTTAGTTATCACACTCTTATAACATGTATTTAAGGTTTGACGGGTTAATCTTGTTTGGTGGGTTAAACAAGTTATTTTAGATTTTTTTTTGTTTTTTTAAGTAGTTTTTTTCTTTCAATTTCATTTTTTAATATTAATTTGATTAAAAATTAAAAATTATAATTTATTTTGTTTACCATTCATTAGATTATTGTGATCTCATAAAGGGATTTTACTATACCCCTCCTTGCAAAGAACTATTAATTGGAATAATGCTTTACTTTATTTTTTTAATTAATTTTTTTAATTTTATTCTTTTTAATTATCATACTTTTATGATACAACTTTGTTAACAAATACATATTCAAGGCCTTAGATCTGGTGTTGTAGTCAAACCCACTAATTCAAGTTTAATATTATTATTAACATAATAAATATTAATTTTAAATCAAGTGTTATAGATAAACTTAATACTCTTAAATATTATTTCATGTAAAGAGATAATACTTTTAAATTTTAATTTTTTTAATAAATTTTATACAAAAAAAAATTAATCCCTAAGACAGCGCGGACGTTACTAGTATATGTATAAAAGTTATCGTACAAAGGGTGATAAGGATCTTAATGGTATATGCTAATGCCATTAAAGCCCTTCATAATTGCCATTAAAGGGCAATTATGTTGCACTAACATTCACTATGGTCATCGTATCCTTCAAACCTTACGCTTAAGGATTTTTATTCTTTTCTATTTTTTTCCCTCAAGAGGCGTCGTGAATGGCTGATGCAGTGTCAGGCCACCAAGAGAGAAGGTCCACAGGAGAAGAAAATTGCCACAAGCACAAAAGTTAACGGTGAACAAATCTTAAGAGAGCGAGTTGACTCGGGGCTCCACCTGTGAGGCCAAGCTCAAGACTAACACCTGGTACTATCAGCTAATGGGTTGCAACGAGAACTGTTTAGTCTCGATCCTCCCTGCTCTACCAATGTCAAATTAGAGAAGCTGAGCAGGTTAGTAAGAATGTATTATCAGGTCGAGCCCATGGAATCTGAACTTTTGAAACTAAGTTGTCAATATTGTAATGATTGTTTTTAATTTTTTTTTAATAAATATATTAATTTTTTTTTAAAATTATTTTAACATCATCACAATTAATTTTAAATAAAAAAATCAAAATCTATCCACACAGACCGAAACGCCAGACGGGGTCCTCGTGATAGGGACAAGGAGGTCCGAACAGCTTGTCTGAATACTGATTCAACGTATGGATTTCATTCATTAATAGTACATCGCTGCAGCTGTCCTGCTGCTAAGTGGAAATGGGTTTGAAAGCAGCAGTTCCATTCGTAGGGATGGTAATGGCAGAGTGTGCACAAGTTGGGCTAATGATTTTAAGCAAAGCAGCCATGTCAGATGGCATGACCAATTTCATCTTTGTCCTTTACTCCAATGCCCTTGCTTCCCTCATTCTTCTCCCTTCTTCTTTCTTCCTTCACAGGTATTCTACTTTTCATTGCATCCCTTGCGCTGTTGTTAAATGAAAGTTGTTTCTCTTTCTTGGGTTTCAAATTCCTTGATTACATAATTTTTCAGATCAGAGAGACCTCCACTCACCTTCCCTATTCTCTGTGGATTCTTCTTGCTTGGTCTATTTGGGTATGCGATTTTAATTTATTTTGATTTTGTTTGATTGAATCTTTATTGCTTTGTTTGGTTTTGATTGGGATGATTTGCTATGTTTGTTCAGCTGGTTGGCTCAGATATTTGGGTATGCGGGGATTAACTTGAGCTCTGCTACACTGGGCACTGCCATGCTCAACCTCATTCCTGGTCTTACTTTCATACTTGCCGTTGCTTTCAGGTTAACCTCTCCTCTTGATTTTGCTTACTCACTGAATTTGTTTTCCATGAATTATGATGAACTTTTAAAGTAGAATTGACGTCCGTATTTCCTTTCTTTTCTATCGGCGAGTATGATATTATCTGGTATTTCATGAAACTAACGGCATTTAAATATTTAATTCAGATGGAAAAAAAGACAGGTCGGTGCATGTTGATACTGTTGATTTTTATAGCTAGTAGATAAAAAATTTCTTATCGGATTTTGGGGGCAGGCAGCATCCAAAGATATCCAACTTATGATTAGTTAAAAGTTAAAGCAGCTCAAATTTTAATTTCCAGTCACTTGGAAAACCTATCAAGAAGGTTCACCAGGTCATATTGGAGCAATCAGAATCCTGTTTTGAGCCTTGAACACAATGCTGGGGAAAGATAAATTCCTCAATCACTGAGAGAACTTTTGGAGAACGTGGCTTCCAAGAGCTATTGACAAACCTGTAGAAGGAATACTATTAGGAGCAATAGCCATGTTGTAGGGCTTGGAAGCTGGAACAATAAATTTTTGAATCATTACCACTACTTCTGATTTTTTCTTCTCTTTTCTTTAAATATGTTCTAGGTTCAATAATAGAAGTTCTAGCTTTTTTTGATTCGGTAATACACACTAGGAGCTAGCATCTGGGGGGCCCTTTCCAGGACAGGTCCTTATTGTTTTCCCTCAGATCCTATTTATATTGGATGGTTATAGATTCATTGTGATTTTTCATCACAAGAAAGCTGGAGTGGGAGATTTTCTCTTAGACATCGTTGGAACTTGCAAACTACTTGCTAATGGCCGGGCTAGTAATGAAGGGTACTTAGATCGTGTCATGGAGGAAGCCTGCAGGTTATTATGGATCTTACTTTAATTAGTGATTCAGCAGAGAGATTCACCTAGCTTGCTTCATATTGTGCATGAGATTATGCCCTGAGTTTTTTCAAAGGTTTTTATTGGTTTTTGCAAAATCATTGTTTTCTAGGGTATTCTCCAAAATAAAAGCAAGCCCTTTTTTGAGGAATCAGTGCTTCTACAAGTTAGAGCAGCTTTCTTAGGTTGGCAATGGAAATATCAACTTCAGTTGGGTTTTCCATTTTACAACTTCTATTCCATCTTTCACTCACCAAAAATTCTCGAAGAATGAAATTATTAAAATTAGACAGAAATTTATCCTTGTACAATTAATTTCCTTTTTATGTTGGCAAAGAACCATTAGGTTGGAGCTTGGCTATTGTCGCTTAACTCTCCATTGCTCACCCTTGACATTGGAATCTGATTTTCTTTTCTTTTCATTCCTTATGTTTTTGCTGTTTTGTTTTTGTTTCCATTTTGTCCAGAATTTCTATTGTCAAAAGGAAAATAAAAACAAAACAAAAGTGCTGCTCTCTAATAGAGCTGAAATACTTGATTAAGACTAGTTGCGAAATTTTTGCAGAGTGGAGATGCTACTGGGAAATAGGATTGAAATAAATTAGCATAAACATTACATGGGTATAAATCTATTTGACTGGTTGTCTCAGGATGGAGAAACTTGACTGGAGGAGCTCCAGTGCCTTAGTTAAATCAACGGGAACAGTAGTATCGGTTGCAGGGGCATTCATTGTCTGTTACTACAAGGGCCCCCCACTTCTGATGGCACCCTCTACTTCGAACTTGCCTCATGAGCTTCTCTCACAGCAGCAAAATTGGATTATTGGAGGACTGCTCCTTGCAGTTGATTGTGTTATGGCTTCTGCATGGCTAATTATACAGGTAATATTTATTAAAAATCTCAAAAGGAAAATGAAAACTAGTTTCAACAGTTACAGAAAAAGAATTTCTAACTAATGTTCTTCATGTTTCAGGCATTGATCCTTAAGAAATATCCAGCAGAGCTTATTGTAGTCTTTTTTTACTGCTTCTCTGTGACCATTCTGTCTACAATAGTTTGTTTGTTTATGGAGAGGGACCCTGGTGCTTGGAGTTTAAAACCTACTGTAAGATGGATTGCTGTTGTGTATTCGGTAAGCAGTGAAAAAATCTTCATATTTTTCATGTAGAAAAAGACATAATAATCTGCTATCTACATGCTTAATCTCTTTTGCACCTACCAATGCAAAACTTTAATATTGTGGATTGGTGTAAGCAATTTTGGTTCTCATTCCTACTTGGCTTCTCTGAATGATGTCTGTTTTTCTTTAACTTGAAAATAATGACTTAAAACTTTAATAAGTTGTAACGCAGGGAGTTTTTGGCTCTGCATTCCAAGTTGGCATTTCTACTTGGTGCCTGCATAAGACAGGACCTGTTTTTGTTGCAATGTTCAAGCCCTTGGGAATTGTCATCGCAGCTGCTGTTAGTACCATCTGCTTAAGGGATACTTTGTATCTTGGAAGGTATATTTTCTTTTTTTGTTTGAAGGTGGTAATAGGTTTGATATTTTATCGTGCTGCCAAGTTAGTTCTATTCCTACCTTGTTATATTATCTTTCTCTCTATAATAAAGAGAAGACACAAGGACCCATCATTTACCATCCTAGTTGAAATATTTAGTTTGGTCGGCGCAACTGTGATTGTCATCGGGTTTTATTCGGTGATGTGGGGAAAAGCCAAAGAAGAAAAGGTGGGAGTGGATGATGGGGTGAGGAGCTTTGAATCAAGCAGCCAAAAGGTCCCACTCCTGCAAAGCCATACAGAAGAAACATGGTAGTTTAGTACAGCAAACAAAAGAAAGGTAATTTCATTTCTCTTTACCTAAAAACCAAAGCCATGCATGAATGCATACACAAAAAAACAACTGCTCGCACCACATTTGATCGACCCTCAAGCCTGTTTTTAAGCACGTTGAAGGCACCCATGTTAAAAGATGCCCTTGCATTATGTTGAAAATTGAGTGGTTCAGGACTTCATTACCTGGCTTCTTTTATCTTTAATTCCTTTCCAATTTCTTATTCAACTGAGTTCGTGGAGTCATTTCCTATGTATCAGTCGTGCTTTTAGCTAACTGAAAGCTTGTTGACTCAAAGTGAATCTCATTACATTCTGAATAGATGGTCATCATTGTCCCATAACTCATGCACCACAGTATAGTAGCATCTGGTTGCTTAATGTGGAATACAGTTTAGGTTTGGATCAGAGCTGCTGGCATTGAACCAGCCAAAAATATTCCTTATATGATCTGGGGTTTAATGGCGTATTTTTCCCCTAAAATATGGATTTGTTAAAATAAGGTCTGGACTACCGATTTGATAGATTAATTTTATGGGTGATCAGTGAGTAAGTAGTTGTATTGTATTAGTTATTCTTTGAGTCTATTTAAAAAAAATAAAAAGATACAACTAGGATTGAGATATTCTTATTATTTTTTGTAGGTCGTGAATTTTATATTTTTTCTTCTGTGTGTTTCTTTCTTTTAAAATGAGCTCAAAAAATAACTAATAGGATGCTACTAGTTATTCCCTAGGCACCACAAAATTTTTCAATTTGATCTATTGTATTTTCAACATATAATTTTTTTGGGAAAATCAGGGCATGTCGTCAAATTTGACCATTGATACTAACTGTTAAAATTTGATCATTAGTCTAAATGTTATAAATAATACCGTTTTGAAGAAATTCAATTTTTTACTGATAAAATAAGTAGAAAATATTTTACCGCTTTTCTTTGTCAATGTGGCGGTATCATTTTCTAGTGTTGTTCTTTATTTCTTCCTTTTTATAATGAGTTGTACAAAGTCATTGCGTGAAAGCTGTGTTTGAATTTACACATGATAACATCTCATGTTTCTTATAGGTCCATAACAGGAGGAAGAAGAAGTCCAGATAAAATAATATGTTAGATGCATAAACACATCAGTTTCTGATAATGTAGAGATGAGAGATATCAGCTTGTGGAATGACCAATGTATGAGCTCAGGAAGGTCAGCCCCTTCTTCAGTGGGATGATTAATGTGGAGGAGGAATAGAGTTGGAACCCAACAGCAATGCACAGGGTAAGCTCACTTCCTAAAAAGGGAAAGAAATTCATCCTCATGAAATATCTGTTGAAAATCTCCACATTTATTGGATTGTTAATTAATAATCATGTATTGTTCTCTCAATTGTATGGGGGAGGGAGTGGGGGTGTTTGGTAGCGGTTTGACTATACTTTTCAAAAATTTTGATTTTTTTCCTGTGTTTTGTGTTTTGATGTGCTGATGTCAAGAATAAATTTAAAAAATATTATTTTAATATATTTTAAAACAAAAAGCATTTTAAAAAACAACTTTTACTGCTGTCCTGCATACGCGCAATGTATGAGACCATACCTTGAGAACCAATAAAATTAAGTATGTATGATATCATGAAGGCAGAATTTGCACGGAGTCATCCACAGGTTGCTCTGGGTTAGAATGGATAGACTTTTCTTTTTCTCCATGTTACGCTTCCTTTGATCTCAGTGTCTAGAAAAGGAATGTCAATCTGAAGAGACGAATACGATCATGACCTGAACCGGATGCAAGGCTATATTGAAATTTTAAGAACTTTCTGATTTCTATTTTATATGGATATTTTCTGTGTCAGGCGCTGAACTTTTCTTATGGGAAATGAAATAAATCTGTAGTTTCTCAGAAGGGAAAGTAGCTCCGGTCGTTCCCATGTTTTTTAAGGAGATAATGGAAGCCATTTTCTATTCAGATATGGCCGAAGGATAATACTTGATAGTTACTGATGACTTGTTAGAAGAGTGGTGAGTTGCAAGAAATGGTGATGTGATTAGGATGACGACGATTGAAACCAGAAACACCTAACAGAACACCGCCGACCCTGAGATCTTTGAGGCTTCAGAATTTGGTCATATGGGCAAGGACAATCACCAAGGCTTAGTTTGTTTTTGTAGTGTAGTTGATCAACACTCACCATTTATTTCTTAATTATCTTAACAAGACTCACCTAATGTAGTAATGTTTGAGATCATTTTATTTCTTACTACATGAGCATGATTTCTTGAAATTCTGAGTTTTTAAACCATTCATCACGCTCAAAATTAGCAATGTTTTACAAAATGACCGCAGCCCATGCTCCTTTCCCCTGTATATTAATGATTTTGATGGATAAAATCGTACTAATTTCCTAATGAGATTTCCTTCCAAGATAAAATAAGGTGGCGATTTTTTTCTAGTTGTATTTTATTAATATTTAGCATTATTCTTTTTCTATTAATCTTATACGTGAACTATAGGTTATATAGATCCAGACCTCATCTTCTACACTATTTGTAGCGAGACTGCAAACAAATGAAATGTATTATCACCATGAATTCACTTATACCAAATTATCAATTTTGAACCCCAATCATCGCTAAAATTCAGAGCTAAAATTCAGACTTTCAAGGCTTAAAATCTAAAAGATAAAATATAAATTTCTGTAATTTACTTAAATTCGAAGAAATGATTTTTGGAACTTTGTTTGCAAGGTGTTTTAGCAGTCTTCTAAGTTAATTTATTGGTCAAAAGGTCATGATTCAAATATTAAGATTTTAAAAAAGAAAGGTGTGTCAATTAACATGATGGATAGTTGATAACGATTATGGGGTGTTTAAGAGTATAATAACGGTTGTTTTTTAAAATATTTTTTTATTTAGAAATGTATCAAAATAATATTTTTATTATTTTTTAAAAATTATTTTTGATATTAACATATTAAAATATCTGAAAACACAAAAAAATAAAAAATTAATTTAAAACAGAAAAAAATAAAATCTTATTTTTTTAAAAATATTTTTAAAACACAAATACAAATATTTTTATATACACATTTTAGCCTAATTAAACAAATCCTTCCCATTCAACCCCAAAGACTAGAGCAAATCGAGAATCTGAAATAGAATATGTGATGTCATGTAGAAAGTTTCCAAAACCCTATAGATTACCCTAAAGAAAACTATAGGCTCGAGGTTGCTTCAAGAAACAATATAATTAATGAGATTTAAGGCTGATGTAAAAACAGATAGATTTTATATACGAGCAATAATATTTTAGGTTTATATATATATATATACTATTTTGGTGAATAATATCTTAAGAAAATTGGTTACCTAAACTCTTCCTGCGATCATTAATATCTGCAATCTGTTTGGTGTGATTACTTCCAGAGGCCAATATTGAAGCCCCATCTAAAATTCTAAAACAAGACTGGTCACCAAGCTTCCGAAAAAAGAAATGATATTTAATGTCATTTTGCTAGATCCAACTTTGTAAGTTTGGGAGAGGTTTTGCTTCTGCTTTTTAATGTTTTTCAAAAGAATTTTTGAATTTAAAAACATTAAATTGATATTTTTATAATGTATATGTAGAATTGTGGTGTGGAGTGCTTTTCAAAATAGTTTTTTATTTAAAAATATATAAAAATAATTTTTTAATATTTAATTCTTAATATTAGTATATCAAAACCATTAAAAAATAAAATATTAATTTGAAATTTTTTCAAGTTTAAAACATTTCCAAAAAGCGCCCTAGAAAAAAAGTAAGAGGGTGCTCTTACACTTTTGAATGAAAATAATTTTTAACATTAATATATTAAAATAATAAAAAAATATAAAAAATAATTTTTTTAAATCATATTATTTTAGAAAATCACAAAACATCATTTCATGGCAAAAACAAACAATTGGTAGCATTGGTCAATGTATTTGCCTTGGTAAACTTCAAATTTGCTCATATAAATTCATCAAAATTCCACTTCTACTCTATAGTTTTATATTTTTCAATTTTATACCAATAATTTTTAATATTTTTCAATATTCCCCATAACTGTTAAACAGCTAACGAAATCTAATTGAAAGGTCACTTTTTTTTCATCGTTGTCTTTACACACACACACACACACACTTAAGAGAAATCGTATTAAAAAAGTGGGCTCGTCATTAAATTGCATTTGGTATTTAACCCTAAAAAATAATATTCAATTTATTTTTCCTACGAGATAACATTGAAAATTATTAAGCTGTAAAGGCAGAGTTGGAATCCTCATCAGTCTGTAAGGATAAATACATAACTCACTCTTGTTGTAATAATGTGTATTTTTTCCCAAGATAAGTTATTTTTAAATCTTATTTCTTAATCCAAAGGTACATTTTGCCGAAAACACCACATTAGCAACCCCGTTTCATTATCTCAGAGTATAAGACGTTATAAGCAATATTCTTCCAAGAATTACAAGCAACATATACTCCGACTCCTAGCTTCAGAAAACGCTCATTCTATGAGGAAGCTCGACTCTGTGGTGAACGGTCCCCTTCTTTGCTTGTACCCCCACTTCTATGTCCACTAAATCATCAGAAGGTAAGTAGGCAATACCCAACTTCTTTCTTTTTCTTGAAGCACATCTCTCCCCCAAAAACCCAGGTTGTTGGATGTTGTAGTTGAGTATTCTCCTAATCTTCCTACACTTGCTCAATACGCACTCATCGGATGATTTTCCTAATAATATTTACACACATTCTAGCAACTAAACCTTATAATTATTCCCACTTTCGCCGTAATTTTTTCGTAGAAACATAGGAGTTCAATTCAAGTCAGGTGAAGTGGATTAATCTCTGGATTGTACATCTGTGACGTCCTGCTTCCTGGGTTGTCATGCAATTTTCATCTCCATTTACTTGTCTGTTTACCATTATACACTTCGATGCATTAATCTTTAATTAAGCAGAGGTTAAATTTACCCAAGGAAGACCGTTATGCCTTTCGGATTAGTCTCAGCATGGAACAAGCGACGGAGAAACAAGTCCCAAGATCACTCGGACCCTTGTACTTCCTCCTACTCTCTTCTTCTTTTGATAACCCCCACAATTTCTCACCCAATTTTGCTAATTTAAAAACAGCAGTTTCATATTTTGAAAATTTGTGCACCCACTTTCCAGGGGTTTATAAACCTGTGGAGTTTTGGCAACTTGAAGATCAAGCAACTCAAACCACAAAGCGAGGCCATGGATCATCGGTTTTTACACTCAAGGAGATGGAAGAGGCAACGTGCTCTTTCAGTGAAAAAAATTTGCTTGGAAAGGGGGGATTTGGCCGGGTTTATAGGGGCATCCTGCGGTCAGGAGAGGTACTTCTTTCTAACAGAATTTTATCATGCTCGAAAAAAAAAAAAGCTTGTGATATGGTTGTTTTTTAACACTAACATGATCGTTCAAATAAAAGTCTGTTATGACAATTAGGCTAAAATTCTGAACTTCCCAAATAGATACATAGCTGACGCATGCAGTTTTAGTTCCCAGCTCTCGGAAACCTTCAGCAAATTTAGTCCCTACAAAGAAAGGTTAAATCCAGTTTTAGAGAAACATACAAACTTGCTTCTCTTCTGTAATCTGAAGGTTGTAGCAATCAAGAAAATGGATCTGCCAACATTCAAAGAAGCTGAAGGGGAAAGGGAGTTTCGTGTAGAAGTTGACATCTTGAGCAGGCTTGAGCACCCAAATCTGGTCTCCTTGATTGGATATTGTGCTGATGGGAAGCACAGGTTTCTGGTGTATGAATATCTGCAAAACGGGAATCTGCAGGATCATTTAAATGGTCAGTTTTTCACTCAAAATCCTATTCTCATTCCCAACTTGTTAATTGCACATCTAGTAATCTGAATCTGAATTCTAGGATTTGGAAAAGCAAAAGTAGATTGGCCCTCGAGGTTAAAAGTGGCACTCGGAGCAGCAAGGGGACTTGCTTATCTACATTCAAGCTCTGATGTTGGCATACCAATTGTCCACAGAGATTTTAAGTCCACCAACATTCTTCTAAATGAAAATTTTGAAGCGAAGGTAACAATTATGAGTCTTTCTAATAATCTCAACTAACCCACAAATGCTTATGTCCCATATTGCCAGGGAGGTTCATAATTACTGCTGATAAAAAAGTTGGTACTTACAAATATCACAATGAAAAGCATATAGTTAAACTTTGTATCCCTATCCTTCACAGATATCTGATTTTGGTCTTGCGAAGTTGATGCCGGAGGGCCAGGAGACATTTGTGACTGCAAGAGTTCTCGGAACATTTGGATATTTTGATCCCGAGTATACATCAGTAAGCACTTCTATTTAATTTCTTGTTTGCATGTCTAAACAGCGATTACTGTTGTTTAACAACAATTTCTATTTCTTTTCATGAATAAACTCTTAATTAAGATATAAGGTTCATGTTGAGCCATCACAATAATACCTGTTTAACGTATTTAGCCATGGCCAGTTTGCAACCTCACTTAAGCATGGTGATTAGACAGGAATGTACTAGGAAGAAATGTTTCTTGATAGCTAAGGAATTATGAGTTCTAACTAGACGAACCTAATTAGCCTTAACTACTCACTTCTTTGATAGACTAGCTTGAGTTGTGCCGCCTTGCAAATAAAATCTAAAGCTCCCAAGAAACACAAGCAAGGAACAAACGAAATTAGCAACCTACAGAACTTGCTAGCTGTTGAAGATACGCGTTATATCTTACAACAAATAAAGAAGGCAGGAAATTTGAACCGGAATTTCCAATAACTTTGCATTAATTGTTAGACTAAGTAATCTCTATCCAAAAATATTGTGCTAAACTATGCATTTAGACAAACTAAAATTTATCCTCACAGCTTTCTTTGGCGTTATTTCTGGTTCATTTGCAACTACAAAGTCAAACGACCTGAAGTTATCAGTTGTGCAAACTCCAAGACAATTACAGTACTTCCTGCAATAATAAAACTCTTGGGTTTGTGACCAAACAGTGCATGTTCTGATGTTCACATTTTGTTTATCAAATAAATACACAAATGCTGAAGATTCTTTCCGGATTCTCTTTCAGGAACATTTGCACGACAAACTCTCTAAACTCAACCTTCCTAGAACCACATTAATCACCACCCAACTTCTACTCTTGAACAGAACATTTTCAATAAAAAGCAGCACGATAAAAAAAATTATCCTTCAGGGCAAGGATCTGAGAATCTCTGACAAACATCAAGCAACAACTAGCTTGATTTTGAACCAACTACAATGAAAACTCATCTTTCTTCATTATCAACTTAACTCAACTTAGTTAGGCACCTAGGCCTTGAAATCCTCGATCCCTAATTAGTTGGAGTCTACGCCTTAGATGAAGTCAGAACTATTGCAGAACAATCTTCAGTCCTGAATAGTACTTTTTGCTGCTTAGCTTGATTTGCAAGTCGGATCTGAGGATTAGCCCGTTTCTTTTGGCAGACGGGGAACCTCACTTTACAAAGTGATGTTTATGCATTTGGAGTGGTTCTTCTTGAGCTCTTAACTGGACGTCGAGCAGTGGACTTAAACCAGGGACCGAGTGATCAAAACCTTGTCCTACAGGTACGACAAATTCATCCCAACAGATTTTCCGCTGTAGTTTCAAGGATAAGAGAAGATTAGCCATGATCATAGCTGAAATACTAATTAAATGATCCTTTACGTTTCAGGTTAGGCATAATTTGAATGATCGGAAGAAACTACGCAAGGTAATTGATCCAAAGCTTAGTCGGGGTTCATACACATTGGAATCTGTAGCCATGTTTGCCAACCTGGCTTCACGCTGCATCCGCATTGAGAGCAGCGAGAGACCCTCCATGGCCGAATGTGTGAAAGAACTCCAGACAACTATTTATATAAATTCAAAACCCATCGGCATGGGGATGACGACTTTCAAAATGGTCTAATAAAACTCCAATGGGGTCAGTATTAAAAGTGTCAGATCAACAATAAAGATCCTCTATTTTTGCTTCATTTGGTTACTAAAACTTGGAAGGTGGCAGACCTATGATTTTAAAAAGTGTAAGCGCACAACAAAGAAAATGATACGTTCTGGAGAAAGGATTCTGGAAATTTAACAACTAAAGCAGAAAAATTTAAGGTGGACCAAAAAACATGAACCATAAAAATTTAGAGAGCAAACAACTGAGAACCTACAATCAGCAAGAAACATTATTTGTATATCTGGTTGTGTCTAGCATCAACATTTCGCTTTAATTATTTTTTCCACTTAATGACAACTTTTGTATATTATGTCATGTTGAAATATGGAGAACACATTCTTCAGCTGATACAAGTTGTAATATGGCAGGTTCCATTGAGATTTCATAAACAAATTTAGAGGCACTGGATTCCTTCTTTTTTTTTCCTTGTTCTTGTTTTACTTCATGTCCCAACTTAATCTTAAACATATTAACATTCTGCCTTTCATATGTTTGATGCAGATTACCTGTAGCACTATAGGTTTCCCCATAAATATGATAAATTACAAGGAGATGCCATACCAACGAATTGAATTCCTGGCCAAAACCAACCAAATTGGATAATCATCACAAGCTGGCCAGACTATACCCTGAAGGACCTGAACCAGTATCCAAATCTTGAATAAGGATAGTGCTGCGGACAATAATTCAAATATAGTAACAACAAGAAGAAAAAGCTTGAAAACAAAGATGTTCATGAGATTGATGAGAAAGTAAAGGACCGATGTAGATTATAAACAAATGCAATTGACATGCAGGGAAGCTGCTTGAAAAATTATGTGTCCAGTCAAGACACTGTCTGATGTACCTCAGAAGCATATGTCATGACTTCAACATATCCAATTGTGAAGATAATTCCGTATCAGAGTCTGGAATATCAGAAGGATTTTTTAAGACTGCAAGTTTCTTGCACATCAAATGTTTGCGCCTCTGCAACATCAACAGGACCCTTATGCTATCGGTTTTAACAATATTGTAACCTGCTTTTGTATACATGTTGAGGGGGGCCAAATCAATCATTCTGCAGTGCAAGTACACGTCTCGCATACTACTCATCTGAGAAATAAGTTCCTCACTTGCCTTCAGAAGATTCCAGCCAATCCCCCTCCTGGAAGTTCAACCCGCACTAAATTAAACCACTCTAGTTCCACACACTGTACTTAGATGCTGCAGGTATTGAAACTGGTCTAGTAGATTAGGGTCATCATGCACAGGTAATTAATTTACCAATAAACATATGAAATTGTAATAAACTGTATTGTGAAGAAGTGCAGATCATGGAAATGTCATGAAGGCATCGGCAAATTCATGCAGTCATAAAACAAGGCACCGCCTATCAAAGGAGCCATAAATCCAAAAATCTTAAACTACACTTTGTGATGCTAGTGTAACAAAGGTTATCCCGTTCTAATTCTCTCAACGGTAATGTTATAATATATTAAAGCATCATCCTCTATCAATTTGATCAAATTTTTGGTGTTGTTTAATTAGTTAGCACGTTACAAAGTTGTGTTTGTGCTATGTCTAAATTATCCTCATAAATCCTCGCCAGCTTAAAAATCCAATCCTCTTCGAATACTCAGATAGCGAAGACTTGGACATGTTGAACCTTCCTTAAGTTATTTTTTGTTCATGAAAGATTTCGGTGATCCTATGGTTTCACAATCACACATTCTCAAACTTAGTTGTAACTAATCAGAACAAAGAACGGTCGATGGTTGAGAGTAAGATGTTTACGGAAGGTTCCCATTAGTCATAAATTAATACGAGACAAAATTCACAAGATTAACAAGAAATGTCTGTTTTCCAAGTAAGAGTATAATTGCCATATTTTCACTACAAATTCCTAGTTCTAAGCACCAAACAAAAAGAAAAAGTAAAAGCAAGAATCAATTACCTACGAAGCGACTGTTTAACAGCCATATTGCAAATGTAAGGAGCATTCTTTGGAGAGGTAGGCGTCGGAGGAGAAGTATTAGCACCCCTTTTGTCAAAACAAACCTCCACAGTCCCTGCCAACTCCAAGAGGTCCTCCTTTTCTTCTCCAGTATTCATCTCTTGTTTCCCTTTATAAAACCCAATAAGCGTAACGGCATGCGGCATTGCAGCTCTCCTTTCTATCAAGTACTGCTTCACCAAGTACCTCAACAAAGATACATAACCAACAGGCAACAACATAGACTCAACAAATGACTCTGCGAGCAATTTAACAGTTATATCCATTTCTTCTGGCTTCATCAGCCTAACACAAATAGACCCAGTTTCTAGTTGTTGATAATATCTGAAATTTTGAAGCGCGTTAAGCTTTTCAATCTCTTCATTGCTCAAGAACCTCCCTGTTTTATATGAATCCTCAAGGTATGAATAGGAGGTAGAAGCACTTGATGTTTCTGTTTCTGTTAATGTCGTCGTCGTCGTCGTTGTTGAGGATGAAGGAGAACATTTTGAGGAGACACGGAATCTAGAGCTGAAATTGAAAGATTTGTGGAGAGAAAGGAAAGGGTGTTGTATATTTGAAGATGAAAGAATTACGGGCAGTCTTTGGGATGGTTGCGAATCTGAGGAGAGAATGAGAGAAACTGAGACTGGGATTGCTGCAGCCATCGATAGATATACAGAAGAACGGTAGTTTGTTCAGTTCTGTTCTGTTCTTTTTCTTTTTCTTTTTTTTCTTTTTCTAATGAGATAAACAACAAGCAATATCATCGCCTTCGATCAAATCCACAAAGTCGAGGAAGATTTTTTTTAATTTCCTTTATTTAAAAAATTATTTGTTTTTGTTATGAGTTATTTTTTAAATTATTTTTTATGTATAAAAAATATTAAATTAATCTTTTTATGTATCTTTTACATGATATTAATATTAAAAATATAAAAAATAAACTAAAATTATATATTTTTAATTAAAAATATTTATAGAAAAAACATGTCACTCTTTTTACTAAATGCACATAAATTATAAGCCGTGGGTTTCTGACAGCAAGCAGCATCATTGCCATCGATCAAATGCAGAAAGGTTCGAGACAAATTGCGGTTATTAATTTTTAAGAAAGAGATTGAGGTAGTGTTTACACACACATCGTGTTTTTTAAAAAATATATATTTTTTATTTTTTTATTTTAATGTCTTGTGCTAAAAATAAATTTTAAAAAAATTATTTTAATATATTTTTAAACAAAAAAAATATTTTAAAAAAATTATTAACAAAATTCAAACAATACGTGGCTCACTTACCGACTAAAATTAGCCTAGAGCCCTATGCTTCTTTGGATCTTTTACTCAAGTCCTTGCCACCTGCAATATCCCTCATGAGTTTCTGTTTACGTGGTAAAAAGAAATTCCATTTGTTTCAATTTCGCCTTCGCATTCTTTCTAAGATAACAGTTCCACCTCCAATCAGCCGCGCTCGTGCATATACTTTATTTTATTTATTTATTTATTTATAATTAAAAGTATTCAGCCCTGTTTACCTGCACCACCATTAATTCTTGAATTTACTGAATATTTTGCAGGCTTAATAAATAAATAAAACACCATAAAAATAATAAATATATATATAAAAAGTCAAATCTCAATATAGAAATAGAAATAGAAAATTCCCTAACAAAACGAATAGGCCACAACCCTAAAACACATCTTTAACAAGAGCTTACAAATATAATTATTCAATTTTATTTAATGATTTTGGATCCTTAATAAATAGCCATATGGGATTTTAAAACCTCTTTTATTAAAATAAAGAGCGACTCCTGTATGTTTTTTAAGGAAAAATATAAAAGAAAAGGAAAACTTTAACTACCTTTTCAATTATAAAATGGAAGGGAAATTGTAACTATTTGTTTCCTCTCTCTTTTTTTACTCTATGTAAACTACAAAATAACTTTTCAAAAGGTTTCTTTTTTTATTGGAGCATCTCATAATTAAAAAGTCACATTATTTAAAAATACTATATTGAAAATTTAGCTCATTCAAATAACTTTCGCCATAAAAAATGCCTTTTACAGAACTTTATACATATCTATATATGTGAAGAACGCAGAATCTATCGTTGACTTTGTGGTCATTATTGTGTACACTTTTCTATGCATTGGAAAAATAATATATATAATTTTTTTTAAAAGGTAACATTTACATATAATTTATGTTATATGTTTTTAAAGCAACATTTATGTACCCTGACTAATATAAATAATTTAATCAAATCGGATTTGATCAATTTAATTGAGTTAAACTGGGTTAAGTAGAAATTTGATTTACCTAGATAGCCACCCATTACCTAATCTGATACTTTTACCATTTGTTTTATTGTATCTTGTTGGTGTATAATTAATTTTAGGGTTAATTTTTTTTTTTCAGTTTGGAATCTTTATGCGGCATTAATTTAAATTTCAAATAAAATTCAATCACTGAAAAAGAGACCTTCTGATTTCCTACGCAATTATTATTGAAATTAACTTTAAAAATAATATTTTAAAAACACCATTTACAATACAAACCCTATTCTGTATATACATGCATACATACATACATATATATATATATATGTATATATATAACCAATATCTATTTACTTCTCTTTTTCTAACCTCCACAATCTCTTCCAACACTCTCCTGGGTTCTCCACGAGAGATCTCTATGTATAAATAGACACTGAAAGTGATGTTTTGTGGGTTATAAGTTGTAGCTCTTGCAATGGCTGTCCGGTTAGCAGTGGACTTCACGTAAAGCTCGCTTTCTTCAATTGTATAATTAACGATGTTGTTTCATATTTTGATTTTCAGTTTCATGAATTTTATTAAATGAAAAGGAGAGCGGAGAGTGATTTGGTGGTACAATGTTTTCAATATTGTTCCTTTGGTTCTCTTATTACAGATTCCACTCAATTTCTTTGATCCTGGAAGCTCACCAGCAGATTCTTTGATATATTGTTCATACCAAAGATGTAATCTTGGGCTTTAATCCTCAGATTCTCTGTGCTGCACAAAACAATCATGGTGTAATGGATCGTCTAAGCATGGCGTACTCCTGTCTGTTATGCGTCTTTAAGGATCTCAGGGCTAGTAGCCGAGGATCCGTGCCACGGCGCTGGTCTTCATGGTTCCTGGTAATTATTTTGGCCATAATCTTTTATTGTTAATCCTGTATTATTCAAATGATCTTTGATGTTTTTATTAGTTATTGCATCGAAGAACTTGAAGCTAATTTGACAACAAATTTAAAACTTTCATTTATAATACATAAACTTCATAATAATATCATCATGTATTAAATTAAATATAGAATATACTGCGGAGGATAAGTAAGAATCTTCAGTTTTGTAGAACCTACCATATCAACATGGGCAGAAGACCTCTTGATTGATAAGTTGTAAATATATTAAAATTACTACTTACTAGTTTTGTTGAATAAAGAATATGATTGAGAATTCATTGATATAACGACGACTGATGGACAATATGATTGAGAATTCATTGATATAATGACGACTGATGGACACCTGTCTGAATTCATAATATATATTACGAGCTATTTGGGAGTATAGTAATAATAAAATACTTTCTATTTAAAAATATATTAAAAAATAAAAAAAATTAACATCAATACATCAAAATAATAATAAAATATAATTTAAAATACATCATTTAAAATACAATCCTGCAACGCCTAAACACCAGCATGGTGCTCTCGTCATGAACAAGCCTGATAAAGAAACTTCGGATCCCTTGCATAGGGTTTTTGAGCTCAAAGAAATGGAACCCCACAAAGATCAAAAGAGAATAGTTTCAATTTTATTTTATTTTATTGCTATGGATAATAATATTTCCTTTTGGTAGACGGCGAGGAGTTGTATGCAAATAAACGTTCGAGGGAATCTGTTTTTGAACAACATCTGCAGTATTGCAACTTGCTTGAACCAGCATTGCCTCTTGCTTTGATCAATTCAATTCACCTAAACAGACCATAATCCTATACCAATAATAAGTAAATTCTTTGAATCTAAGAAATCTCCATACTCTAAAACGAAATGGGTAAAATATAAAAAATTAATTAAGCAGATAATTTAAGTGTTTCTTGAAAAAGTAAAATAAAAAGAAACTTACATTTAAAATTAAAGGGGTTTAGGCAGCATCCGAACCCACACCCAAACAAATTCCTCGGCGGAAGGTTGCAAATTGTTTGGACCATGGCCATGTTCTTACGTTGACATCGTCTTCACATTTTAGCCAGACCTAAGTATAGTCCAAAAGGATCATTGTGGTTGGCACCATTTATGCCATCTTCTTGATCAGTCGAAACCAGCCACCACCCAGATAGATCGAAATTAACATTCTTACACAGTAACCTTGTCATGACTCATTCTTCTCTTCTTGATTCAGAGTCCCATTTCTTTATAACCTCAAGCAATATCTCATTCCAAGTATCTATGGGCCCAGGCAAGCACCAATGCACACAATCATTTTGCACGCGCTCAGTAACGCCATTGGCAAAAGGAAATGGATGCATATATGGACCTGGGTGACCGTCTGGCCTCATTAATGACAAACTGGTAATATCTAGTGCCTCTAATCTGAACTTTTCAAGCTGTGTAGAATTCATTTTTGCTGCTTCTACTTCTTCAACCTCAATTTGTCTCATGTCTGCATCCATTCCTTCAAGTGCTTTCTCTCCCTCCTTGTAAGGCTTGGTTTTTGGACAAGCACCTAACTTATCCCAGTCACCTTCGAAATGGGCAGGAGAAAAGGTAGTCACGAATGCATTAATACCATTGCTATTAGCCCCTTTCCTGTCAATTAGAGCCTTAAGTGTGGTTTTTATAGCCTTCCTCAAGACATCATAAAATCCAATCTCAGTGTGATTAAGACCAGGACAGTAATGACAACCCAGTACTTGATCGCCTTCATAATACACTGCAGGATGTAAGAACCAATGACCAATTGATAACACAATCATGTCAATTCCATTCATATCAGCAGCCCATCTCTCATCAACATGGTCCAAATACAGCTGGTTATGATTGGGACCGGTATTGTATTTTTCCACACCTTTCACGAGAAATGGTGACCAGTAAACTGAGATGTTGATATTGTGAGATTCAAAGTACCACCTACGAAACTTATTGTCTTCACCATCTCGATAAACTAGATTAGGGGCAGAAGCAGAGGATAGCATGCAAAGAAGTGACTCCAATTGGTTTCTAGCCATAGAGTCACCGACAAAAGCTAAATGTTTGTTTCTAAGGAGTTGGAGGAATGTACTGGGTTCAAACCTTGGGAGCTTACAATGCTTTGGTTTCCATCTCCAGTAGAGATAACCCATGTCGGGCCTGCCGTGAGCGATGCAATTCTGTCCTTCCTTGATTGTGCCACAGGCTGAGCCGTTATACAAAGGACCTCTTTTATCACGGACCCATTTACCACTGGTGTAGTCACAAGAAGTTTCCTGTTCTGCAATAAAGAACATAATGAAAAGCCATTGTTAGTGTCGAAGAGCAAAGCAAGATTTTAATAAATTTTTAATTAAGGAAATATTACTCATAGTTTACTTTTGATTTTCAAGTAAATGAGTGTACCTACGAAAGGAGTGGAAGAAGAAACAGAGGAGGAGGAGGTGAGAATGGGAGTGGTGATGTGGTGGAGGGGGTAAGGGTAAAAATACAAGCGAAAGAGAACTAAAGGGATCATAGCATAAAAGGTCCAAGGAATAAGCTTCTTAGCGAGAGAGAAGGGGTGGTGGTGGTGGTGGTCTTTGAATGGGCTGCCCATTCTGAAATGCTGGGGGCAGAGATGGTTTGGCCAAGTGTAGAGAGATAGGGGAGAAGAAGAGAGAGAGAAATTATGCCGTGGTGGTCCGATATGGAGCAATCAAAGTCACGCCGAGAATCTCGTCTCCTTTTCTATTTATATTATGGCTCGACCACCTAATTTTACGAAGCTGTATCTTACTTTTTCTAGCGGTTTAATTTTATGTTTTAAAAATATTTTAAAGTTTTTAATTTTTTTTAAAATTAATATTTTTTTATTTTTAAATTATTTTAATATATTAATGTTAAAAATAATTTTTAAAAAATAAAAAATATTACTTTAATATATTTTTAAACAAATAACACTTTTAACTGCTGGTAGACTCTCAAGCAGCAGACTACGCATCCCCTCTTAGAACAAGTGGTGCTCTCTCTATTACTCCTCTGTGTCACCTTTCTTTTTCTTATTTCTTTTTTATCCTTGTGAATATTACTTGTTACCTTTCTTTAGTAGTTCTAGTATTTGCTGTTCTGATCTATTTTTATCCTTTCTTTTTCCTGATCTATGGACCTTGTGGGTATTTACGGCTATCTGTTCGCCGATTGGTAGATGCCCTGTGCCCTCCTCTCTTCTTTGTATAATTTGTGGGGTTTATTTTTTTCATTTTTTTTCATTTTTAAAGCTTTTAGATTCAAATTTCCAAGTTTATATTGAGTTGAAATATTATGTTTTTGTGGGTGATGTACAGTAAGCTTTAATTAAACCACGTTACTGGTTGTTAGACTATGAGTGCATTCGATCCGGTAAAATAAAATATAATAAAAATAACGAGTAACTTCATCTGTTGCAAAAAATAAAAAAATAAAACAAAATAATGCCCTTCATTTTTAGGAAATTGTGAATTACTTTATTTTAGATTGTGTGGGTAAAATCTCTATGGGGCTTTAACTAAGGTATGAATGTATTGCTTTTCTCTGTATATTTCCGACATGCAGGATGCCAACATGCTGGTCGGAGAGTTAATTTTAAGGAAAAATATTTTACGATTCTAAAATAATTTCTAACTGTTTTTTGTTTAATATTTTTAATCACATAAATTGTAAGAGAATAATAAAAGCATAGTATAAGTTAAGATAACATAAAATTAACATTAATTTGTGTTGTATATAGTAATGTTACATTTTAATAATTAAAAGTAGTTATTCTTTTAACTTTCTGTTTGGCTGGACCAGAGAATGATTTTTATTTCTCAAGAAATAACTAAAGTATAAATGCGAAGCAGATTGCATGAATGAATCAATTGGTTACTTGGATATTACCAACAAAGAAAGAAATAGGTGTGGTTTTGTTTCTTAAAGTATTTTTTATTTACAAATATATTAAAATAATAACTTTTTTATTTTTTAAAATTATTTTTAATATTAGTAATCATTTAAAAATATTAATTTCAAAAAATAAAAAATTAAAGCAAATCATGACCATCATGTGATATCGAGATCCAGCATCGCCAAAATTACAAACATGTTTTCTTTTTAAAAAAAAAATCCTTTATTTGACATGGCTGTGTTTTCTCTCCAAGCGTCCATGTCCACATGACCTTCTCCACGTATTCTTCCATGGATATATATATATATATCTGTGTGTGTGTGACTGTCAGACGATTATGAAGGGCAAGTGGGGGGGAGCTAGGTGTCAATCATGTCTTGAAGCATGCATCCCCCAGCTTTTTTCGAATGCTCTCAGCATACTCATATATTAGTTTTTTCCTCAATAATTTTATGAGCCTGCCAAGTAAAGAATGCAATATAATTTGGAGTTTTGCTTCTTTGACCTTTTGCGTATGGGAGGTCGTTCGCTCGCACGCACGCACTTTGACAAGTTGCCATGAATTTTAAAGGCGTATTGCTAGACCACGATGCTTTCACGATCTGTATTGTTAATTAGACAACGCGAAACGATGAGAATCTGTTTCAGTGGCTCAGGGGAGTGGACCCCTCGTCTTAGGTCTTCTTTGGTGAATATTTATCTGTACTGTTGCGGTGTTGCCGGCGGTAATTTGCCGTTGGAAATATTCGAAAGTAAAGAGAACAGTTTTTCTCCAGCTAATTGCTGCATTGGCTAGGCTGGGGATATTGATTCAGATCCGATCTAGACATCCTGTATGTTATGTGTGGTCGCATCCAGAGAATATATTCCAGAGACTGAACTAACGTCCACGTGGTTCACCGGCGTAGTAGCGAGGGGGTGTAGAAAAAAAATTACAACCGCCCAATTAAACCGTAGAAACCAGTAAAAAATTAATAAAAAAACAGAACCAAGAGAAAAAATCAATTAACCGATTTTCCTTTTTAAAAAAAAAAAACTCTGCTGCCTTTATTTAATGCATGCCTCTTGTTTTGTTTTGGCAGATTTGCCCTTGTTGCAGTTAAGCTGAGATTGTCTCCTATTTTTATCACTAGAACTCTCTGGGTCCATGCTTGCACATTTCACTGAAAATTTGTTGCTGCGGCTTTCTGTTTTTACCTTCTTGTTTTTGTTTGCTGATTCTTGTTTCTTAGTGTAAATGCTAACATTTTTCTTTTTGAAAATACAAAATATTCAAACAAATAATCAACACCTTGTTTAGTAATATAGTACAAAATAACTAAGAGATTAAATTTACAACAAAAAACAAAAATTAAATCTAAATTTGATCAGATTGAATGAACTTAGTTTAAACCGGTTCTCAAATCAGTTTATTTTATTTTAAAAAAAAATATTTTATATTTTAATTAAAATTTTATACCCAACCCGAATCAATCCAATCCGAGTCAATCCGATCATGGATTGAATTAGCCAAGCAAAAAATTTCAAATTGCCAGGTCAGTGGGGTCCTTTTGTTCCCATGATAGATAAAATAATCCCTTGAGTGTGTGGTGAAAATTAAATTACAGGTGATTTTAGAATCTTTGACGTTGGATAAAATGTCGGTATAGATTAAATTGTTGATAAATGGCTAGTGGCTATCGATATTTGCCAATATTCGCATTGCAGCAAATCCCACTATTATTGATAGCAATTCACTATACTGGCCAAAAAAACATGTTTTGGCAAAAAAAAAATGAAAAAAATTGAAAGACTGATTTGAAAATATGCAATGAAAAACTCTAAAATTAATGAGCGAAGATGAAAGAATAAAGAAAAAAAGAATCACCAGAGCAAAACTCGATAGTGTTTTACCACACACGCTATTTAGAAATGGAGACGATGTAGTAAAGATTAAAATATTATTGTGGAAGCCTAAGTTTGATGGTCAAAAAATAATGTGTATGCCATTCAAAAAGCACAAGAACACCCATATGCGTTCACATGAATGACATGCATTAATAAATTTTTTAAAATTAATAAATTTTTTATATATATCTAAATACTAAATTATTTTTAATCAGCTTAATAATATTTTTTTAAAAAAAAGGCTGGAGGAGAATAAAAGAAACCTTAACCCAAAGCAAAGATAATTTCAGTTGCCTGGTGGCTCCAGGAGTAAAATCATCATTTAACTATTTCATTCTGTAGTACGGATAAATCTACGTGTGCAGTAATAAAGGAGCCTTTCTAGTTTCTTTTAATAATTTGTGCCACAGAGCACAGATCACGCGGGAGATTATAACAAAATGAAATCTACAAGAATAAATGTTTTTATAATGTTATGCCTCTACAAGGCTGTAAATAGCAGCGAGCCAGGCGCTGCTTCTTGAGTAACGGACAAACAAGGCATCATGCCGAGACAGACAACGAAGCCAGCTAAGTTGTCGCAAGAGAAATGATGCTGAAGGGGCCATTATATTGCACCCACCATTCATGGTCAGAGGAAGTGAATGGCTATGATGGTGTCGTTCATGTCCAGACGACGGTTCAGCTTTAAATTTTTTAAAAATAGATGAATGAATTAACACAATAATTAAAAAAACCTGCAGAAATAATATTTTTTTATCTGTTATGATTCAGAACCGTGATGTATGTTAAATACTGTACTTCTAAATTGTAATAAATAATTAATATAATGATTGAGAGATATAATTTTAATTGATTTCTGATTTTTAATTGCTATTTCAATATTAATTATCATTTATCCGAACAGCTGCTGGTTTTTATCCAGTTTATATTCAAAGAAATTTTTCAAGGCTTGGTGTAGAAGCTGTTTTAATGCAGGCATCTATTGTATCAGCTACATGGATCAAAAGTCAAGCTATTTTAATGGAGTCACATGCTGTCTCTGCAATATGTACCAAAGTCTAAAACATTACAATATATATATATACATCCTCCCATGCCTGGCAAGATTTCTTAATTTTATTTTTGTATAGATCATTTTTAATTTGATATATATATTTTATTTGATTTTTGTTAAAATTATCTTATAAATCATTTTAAAACTTTGTTTTTCTTGTTTTTTAGTTTATGATTTAAGAAAAAAAAATCACTAAATTCTAGTAATAAAAAAAATTACTGTTAATACTAATTTTAGCCGTCAAAATACTCAATTTTGATATTAATATGTTTCATTAAACAAAAAAAGTTTAATTTATATGTTTTTTAATATTTAATTTTTTTAAAAAAACAAATATAAACTTGACAGGATTTTTGGTTTCAGGGTTAATTTTGGATTTTGGATTTTATTTTTGAGTTTTATTGGCCTTGATAAGTTTCTTAAGGTATTTATAATGTGTTATTGGTGTTTTAGGTAAAATAAATAGACGAGAAATCAAATTTTTTAGGCAAACAATACCTGGGGCGTGATTTTTCAGCAACTATGGTTCGCTGGGATCTACACCAACAAATAATGCATCGTCTACAAATTCTTTTATTGAAAAATAATATTTAGAAAAAAAAGGCTAATAATATGTCGTGAATCCTCTGTATTTGAGAGAAAACATGTCTCATGAACCAAGTCTTTTTCGTAAGCCTAGCTCACAAGCCATGCTCTTTTGAGTGTGTTTGGCTTATAAGTCAGGCGTGTGAAAGACTCAAACACTTAGCTTTTTTTTTTAAAAAAAGAAATTAATGAGTTTTTAAAATCTTGAAATTTCAAAAACAGACGATCATTCCTTTTGTTTTTAAACTGACTTGAAAAAAAAAACATCTCATTTTGTTATCAAAAATTTAAAAAATTAGGCTAATTTTTATTTTAATTCCACAAAAAACTTTTATTTATTTTTCTTAAATTTCTGTTTGACATACATAAAAAAGTCTTATGTAGGAGATATAACTAAACAAAAAATAATTACTGAAATAAAAAAAAGATAAATTCAATAGAGTGCATAGTTTGAATTGTAGGTTGGACATGTTAATTTTGATTTATTTGGATACATTTTTTGAATTAAATATTTTGAATATTAATTTTTTCCTTTAACATATACACACACTAAAAAAAATACGTTGAAAGAGATTGGATTTTCAATTTTTCTTGCCAATTGTGATGCCCGAAAACAAAATGGGATAAAATTTATATTAAGAGTGTAATTGGTATTGTAATAATAATTGTTTTTTAATTTTTTTTAAATACATTGAAATATATATATATATATATATTAAAATTATTTTAACATTAACACATCAAAACAATATAAAAATATATAAAAAATAAAATTAAAATAAAAAAAATTATTTTTTCTCAAAAAGATCTCTTAATTTAATTAATCAGGACTGAACACCCAGCCCACACAATAAATGGGGCTTTCAGGCCATACGAACCCATTGAATCCCAGCTCTCAAACATAACCCCAAAACATAAAAAGAAAGAAAAGCCGGGCGAAAGCAAGCAAAGCTGAATCAAGAGCAGGAACAATAGACAGCAGGCATGGCCATGGAAGGTAGCAACATCATCAGCAGCAGCAGCAGCAGCAGCAGCAGCGAGGACTTTGTGGTGGGCTGCTTGCTCTCTATCAAAACTACCTTAGGCGAAGAATTCAAAGGACAAGTCATGACTTTCGACCGCCCCTCCAACATTCTCGTTCTTCATATCCTTAACTTTAATCTTTCTTTATATTTCTTTTGAATATCAGTACTTTTGTGTTTTTTTGTTTGGGATTTCTTGACCCTGTTGTTTCACAAGAGGGATCGAAACATGGGCCGAAGAGAAACATAAGGTTTTTGAAAGCAAATTATATCAAGGAGTTTTCTTTCCTGGGTCAAGCTGAGGACCCACTTGACATCAAGAAGTGTTATATAGATCTCAATAGTCTTCAAGCCGGGGAGGAACTGGCTTTAAGGTGATGTTCATTGTAACCCATCTGGGGGTTTGTGGTTCATTTGTCTCTTTCAAGTTTTGTGGGAAACGCTTGATTGGACTGGGTTTGCAGGCAAGCAGAAGCAGATGCTGAGAGGATTGGAGTGGGAGTTACTGCTGAGGCGCAGAGCATTTTCGATGCCTTGTCTAAGACGTATGTGCCCTTATTCTTATTCCTCTGGGGTTATATCTTGTTGCTAGCAAGTGTATTTTGATTCTAAATCTTTTCTTGTTCATTGAATTCACGTAGTTTCTCACACGCGAATCGTTATAATCTGGAATGATTTTTGAGTTTTAACATATAATGTAAGAGATTGTGGATGTCCTTCTGGCAATATGATGATAGAATACGTACTTGTAAGTTGGCATTACTTGTTAATTGTTATACTAGTAGAAATTATCACGGATAGTCTTGATTTATGCTATAGATTGTTTTTTCGTGCGATGCTCTTTGTTGGACTCCTTGCATGCTTTTGCTTTCTGAAGGTGCCATAGATTCGTTATTGATGAAGCGTTAATGTACTGGACTTTGACAAGGTTGTTTATATAGATGCACATAGTTTATTCTTAGCGGAATTCTTTTATTTGATACAGAGAAGGAAACACCAGATTGTGAGAAACAAAGTGCATATTTAGGGGCCTGAAAGGTTAGAAATTTGCATTATTGTTAGTGATATTTGATTTTGAGCATTGGGAGATGTAGGCGACTGCACAATGCTGCATGACCTAGGCTGGAGCTGAACAAGGGTTACTGGCGATAATATGAAACAGAAAATGCTAAAAGATGAGATGTGCTTGGATAGCTCAAATGAGCTGAAGGAATGGTGTGATAGGACTGATTCAGCATTGACAGAGGATGGTTATTTTTACTCACTGATGAATTAATTGAGTGATTTTCTAATAGGGACTGGCTAAAGAAATTTGACTCGTTTTTTTTAGTTGGCTGGGATCTGCTATACTGGGATTGTGGAGACTTTGAACTGATGCAAAATATGTAAGTTGCCTAGGGTCTGAATGTGGTTGAAGGATAACTAAGTTTGGGAGCAAAGCATAGATGCTTTGAAAGAGATTAAACTGCAGGATTTCTAGGAAAACTGCTAAAAATGGATTTAGGATTTCCTTTGATTGGTTAATTAGAAGAGAAGGATTTGAAAATTATGTACGAGTTAGGGACATTGTTTGTGAAATGTGGAGTTCAGATGGTGATAAGAGAGATCAAAGAGCTCTGGATGATATTGGCATGAGTTCTCCTCTCACATGCAGTCCATCTTAATTGCTAGTTTTGTTTATAGTGTTTGGCTCTGTGGTATCAAATGTTTCTCCTTGTTATAATTCTTCCCTTTTCTTCACTCACAAATGTTTCTTTTATCCAAAAAATTCGTTTGTATCAAATGAAATTGACTGCTAAAAAGTTGGATAAGCTATCCTAGGGAACCACTGGTTTAAGTAATGGTGAACCATGATTGAATTATGAACCTGTATCTTTACAAGTCATTAATTGATATGAAAACTGAAGGGGAAGCAATTATGAAAGAAGAAAGGGGCATTTGACTGCTAGAAGATGTGACAGATTAGGGATTTTGACTGGAATTAAGAAATTATAACACTTTTGTTTTAATTAGTCTTTTATTCTTATATTCTTTCAGATGATATGCTGTTTATGTTTAGCTGAGGTAAGGAATCCACATAAAGACTTTTGCCTCATTGTCCCACCTGTTTAGCTGATTACTGGTGCCCATGAATCAGAGTTGTCTGTGCTATGAAAGATGATTGATTGCTCTCACTTTATCCCTCCTGCTCTGTGGATCGCTACTGGATTCACTACTGATTTGGACCAGCCGCATGCTTTTCTTGAGTGATTTATTTGTTTATACCGGTGGACTCTTATTTATTATATGAACTTAATAATATGGATGCGCTAGATTTGGAGACTGTGATGTCAGCAATGGACTATTCCTGGATCTATGAGTGAGCATTTTAGAGAGCCAATAATGAATTACCGCTGACATTAACTGTAACTTCTCATGCCAGACAGCATATTCTTTTCCACTATAAATTTCCTTGGTTATCATATCTATACGTTTTGGGATTCAGGCATTGCTGTTGTTGCAGTGACTTCACAGGTTTTTGGACGTAAGCAACAACATGCATATAGTAACATTTGCTGTGCACCTGTAAACTAGGATATGACTTCCACAGTCTTGCGTGCATGGACAATACGCTGATTCTTTGGTTTTTGCTTGTGTGTGTATTGACACGTATTCTTGATTGAATAAGCTTCTGAGAGATTCTTCATTGCCTTTGTCTTGTTGTGTCATTTAAATTTTGGCTATGAATTATTGTCAAGTTGCAATATTATATATTTTTATGCAAATTGTAATTAGATCACATGAAGTGACTAATTTTGCGAGTGGTGTCAATGTATATATAACCAGGCTTCCAGTTCGCTGGGACAAAACAGTCATAGTTGTTATGAATGAAGTGCGTGTCAGTAGTCCATACTTAGCTGAATGTGTCAGTGGAGGAACTCCTGCTGCTAATGACCGGGTGAAGAAAGTGGTAAGACACTGAACAGGGTACAAGATTTTGTGTTATTTTGAGAAATTTGAGGAGAAAAGGCAAATGATTTGTTCATGTATGCCCCTTTGCAGCTCGAGCTCGAGAGGAAGAGGCTGCAAGCTCGTGGTGCAAGTCGGTGAGGATTTTACTTCTCATCCTGCGATTGCCTGGGAAGCACCTTGTGGAATGGATTATTACGGGTACCCACCAGACTGCGGTACAGCCATCTCTGGGAAAAGCATAATTCCATAAGCTAAGAAGATTCTAATTTTATTGATAAGGGAATTTTAGTTTTCACCTAGAAATTAACTTGTAGCAATTCTTTCACTGTGCTCCAACTGGCAATTTAATTGTATCATTATCAGGTGTTCTGCGGTATTATCCCGGTTTCTTTAGCAATAAAAGTTATGGTGCAATATCCTCAGCTGTGTGTGAAATAAGCCTGCTGCCAACTATCACTAAATGCTCAGTCATTTTCTTCACAATCGTCATCATCGAGCTACTACCATATAGTTTTACCTGTAAATTTGTTGTTAAGGTGTGGTGGTGATCGGGCGTCTAATATTTTATTCGTAGGTTGAAAGAAAGACGGCCTGGTGCTTCTTTGTAGTGGTTTCTATCTACAATCATGTAGTGGAGACCTGTCTCTATCAGGTTGTTTAACGGGATTCCTTGCCTGTTAAGAAAGTAGAATGTGATCGGTAGAGAGCATTGTTGTTAAACCTAGGGTAATTAGACCGAAACCTGACATCTAGACTCGGAGACTCGGTTCGGTTTCTATTTAAACTGGCTAGAACATTGATTTGTTTAGGTTAAATTCGGATGATATGATGCTGTATTGACTAGCCTGGATGAGTGGTCGTATCTCGGAGTAGGGTTAAATCTTTTTGAAAATAAAATAGCATATACTAGCTGTTTGAATTAATCAAACACAATCATATTTAAAATAAAACACAGGATAATCACATTACAATCTGAAAGCACTCAGAGTCTTCAAGATGGCAATGAATTCTTACGGGTTGAGTCTTTTACCATAACCCGAACCCAAAATAATTATAATTATTTAAAGGGTTTCGGGGTGTTTATATCCCAAATGTAACTTTAATACAAATGCAATAATTCATAATTATTTAGTATATAATTAACTGGCCATACATGTAATTTTTCAAACCATGATTTTTTTTCTTATTATATGATTTTTTTTCTTCAGGTTTTAATGAACCTGATCGAATCTAAAACAATTGTAGTTATTTGAGATAGTATCTATAGAGTTGGATAAAATTATTATCCCTATTTAATCTTGTTAAAAAAATAAATAATAAAAAATTACTTGAAAAAGGGTAGAAAAATATTTTGCAAGCCAAGAGATGTTCCATGCGAAATCTTATTTCTAAAGTTGTGTGGGAAGTAAAGGATTAAAAGAGGGCGTTCAAAACTATTTTTTTGTGTATTTGATTTATAAAAGAATTAAACCTATTTTTTTTAGTGTATTTTTAATGATTATAATGTATTAATGATAAAAATAAAAAAATATTTTAATATATTTAAAATTAAAACCATTTAAAAAAAAATCAGCAATACAATTCCAAATATTACCTAATCATCGTTGGCTTGCAGGTATTTTTAGGAGACGCGGCAAAACGAGAACTTATTAAAGTCTGAAAAATTCTTGAAATTGAACCTACTGGTAATGAAAAAGAATGAGAGAAACAATCGGCCAACGATTTTTTTTATTTTTTAAAAATTATAATTTAAAAATATTAAAAATATATTAATTTGAAATAAATAAAAAAATAAAAAATTTTAATTTTTTTTAAAAATATTTTTAAAATATAAAAACAAACAGCCTTGCATTTTTTTTTTAAATTAATAAAAACGGCGAGTTGCAATTCCTCTTGTTTCTGTAATGTCAATGGGGCACGGCAGGGCACCTCCCTAACTTGCTCGCATATCATGTTCCAATGGGCTCCTTCTCTTTTCTTCTTCTTCTTCTTCTTCTTCTTCTTCTTTATGTGCAAAATGATGGGACCTGTTTTGTGAGCAAAAACTCGCTTTAGGCCGGACTGAGAAAGAGCTCTATCAATATCATTTCCCAAAGGCAAAAAGCCTCAACAATTAAGCAGTAGTCAAAGGGGGAGAGAGCATCGTGTCTCCCGATCATGTTCACCATGCTGCGTTGTTCTTGCTTTACAAGACATCATGCATGCCATTGCTTCTTTTGTTTTTCATTTCGGTGATTCAACTTTATTTCTTTATTATTTCATCTCTGTATTCTTGCTTTACAAGACATCATGTATGTCATTGCTTCTTTTGTTTTTCATTTCTGTGATTCAACTTTATTTCTTTATCATTTCATCTCTGTAATTGATTTTGATATCATTTATGTGTTAAAATTTGTTTTTAAGAATATTCTAGTGTTGAATCAAAAATAAATTTCACTAAATAGAATTTTAACTTATTGTAAAAGAAATTAAAGAATGAGCACCCAAAAATAAAAACAAAAAATAGCCTTTATTGTTTATCGAACCATTCTCACGTTTATTTTATTTTTAAATCTTGCATTCTCACATGCCCTTCTATGTTTATATTCTCTACCATATATCATTCTGCCATTTTTTAAATGAAAATTTACCTTAAATCACTAAAAGGAAATGTAATTTTTAAAAGCTACAAAAATGAAAAATTAAACTTTAAAACCCAGATAAAAACCCTGGAATTGTGAGAGGTTGGAGCATTGCAAAAAAAGTAAACAATCCATAAAAATGTAAGAAAGAGAGAAACAAAATAATGAAAATTTTGAAAACACGCGTCAAAGTGAACTTATTTCATCGTCATGTCAGGTTTTCAAGACTTGATAAGTTTTTAGAAATCAATTTATTTTTTATTTTCTTAAATTGATCTTGCTTTTGATGGTTTTGTGGGTCATTTTGATCCAGAAAATTAAAAAAAAAAACAACACGTAAAAGAAGATTTAAATATACAAAGACATAGAAGAGTGGATTATATCTACACGTGCAAAGAAGAGTGTTCAAGAAGTCATTGCGTTTTAATTATAACGTTGAAAATCTTTCAATTTATTTTTAGTATTATTTTATTGTTTTGGTATTTTGATATTAAAAATAAATTTTAAAAGATAATAAAAATATTATTTTAAGTAAAAATTACTTTAAAAATAACCTTTACTGTACTCACAAATAATCCCTTTATATATATATATATAAAAAAAAAAAAAAAAAAAAAAAAAAAAAAAAAAATATAATCGACGGAGGATGAAGTTGTAAGACAAAATAAAGTGCAAGGATAGATTATCAAGATTTTGAAAGTTAGACTCTTTGAACGAGCGTGGAGGCTGAGGAGTTCATCAACGTTCCTGCTATTTTTAGGGTTTCTGTGCAGAGGATGCCTTTTGATCTCCTTTGCTTTTCCTAAAGTGGATGCATCCATGTCTATTTATTTATTTGATAATCACGCCCTACGGGTGGAGGGAGGGAGGTGAGGCTGCTTTTGTGGATTCCTTCCCGTTTTAAATCTGTTTAGGACCTTTAGGTGGGGTCGCAAAATCGCGTCCACCGTGAAAAGGTGCCGCCCCGGAGGGAGACGGATATTTAAAATTTAAGTTGGAATAGTAGTTGTTTTTTTAAAATATTTTTTATTTAAAAATATATTAAAATAATATTTTTTAGAAATTATTTTGTATATTAATATATTAAAACCACTTTAAAATATAAAAAAATTAAATATAAAATATATTTTTTAAAATTTTATCTAATTCTATTTGAAACACAATACCAAATAATAGTGATTTTTTAAAGCAACGTTACACTCCAAGTTAGGAGTTCTTACCTTTTTTTTTTTATCAGAATATGTTATGTGATTTAATTTGTCAATTATATTTTAATTGCCTAAGGAACAATAATTTGTTCACTAATTAATTATTTTGATAGTTAAACTGGGATTTTAACCTTTTTTATGTGTCAATATTATTTTTTTTAGTTTAAATACACCTTTTGTTCTCTGCTAATATAAATAGTTTATTGATAGTTGTGAGTTTTATAATTATTTTATAGACCGGAGAAAAATATTCTTTTTTTTTTTATTATAAAAAACCTAAAAACCACTAAACAACTGTAATCCAAGCACACATTTTTTTTTTTATCAATTTTAAACCCAAATCATAACATGATTTGACTTTTTAAAGATTTAAATTTTTTAGGTTAAAAAAGTAAAATCTCATAAGTTGATATAAAAAATTAATAAAATTAACCTCCACAGATGTTAAGATAAAAATATAATTATTTATAATATGATAAAGTTATCATTGAGAAATTAATTGTTAGCCGTTCATGACTTTTTTAATATATATTTCTTAAAACAATTTATAACCTATATATATATATATATGATATTTAACGGTTAAATTATATGTATATAATATATAATATAAGATAGGCGGTCAATTAAAATGACTATCATTTTATGAGAAGTTTGCATGCAGGGGAAGCACGTAAGCATAAGTCGCGGAGCCATCGCCCATGGGCCCCCAAATGTTTTTTTTTTTTCAAATCACTCTAGTCTCTGATTTTTAGGCATATATTCATTCTAGACCTTATTAAGCCCTTTTTTATACCCAATAATCAATTCCACCCTCCCCAACTGTTTGTGTTTTTGCATGACAACTGAAAAGGCATACGATATATCCGTAGATAATGTATCCTTACCCTGCGGCATAAGCAGATAATAAAGCACAGCATATATATTTCATGCGGCATATGTAGAATTACCAGCAGCAGCTAGATATATAACACAGCAACATGATTGGGAATTAATGCATGCACGAAGGAATGGATGTTTGTGTGTACAGAGAGCGAGAGAGATGAGGTTAATGTTGTCTTCCAAATTAAGGCCTGTCCATGTATAAGCACCCACCTGATGATGAACCAGAAGCAAGAAACGACAGAGAAAGGTACTGCAGAACAGAAAACTGGGGTTGGCGTAGACGTTTGACAAATACTCGAAGCTAGGGAAAG